ACTTCAGTGTATATATGCCTACTTATTAAATTTTTAACATGCATCATCTTATCATTCTGAATGTAATGAAAATTAATTTAAATCAAAGTATTAGGAAATTTTCATCTTATTTTTCGTGAAATATCATTACAAAAGACTGAGGAATTTTTATTTTCTCTTATCTGTTTTTATACGAAATTTCCTTTATCTGTCTTAAACGAATGAACACCGATGATACGAAATAACTTAAACGACCTCAAAAATTAATTTAGAAGCTCAGTTAATAAATTTATTGTAACATTGTCTTGGATTTACATGCTTACCCTTTAAATAAATTTGTAATTATTAACTTAAGTTTGATTACAGTAGTTAACAAATTAAAATTTTCAACAACACACACGCATTTCACATACCCCTTAGTAGTGCCCTGAGAAGGATCTGAAACTGAAATCTTGTGTCCAACATCTTCCTAAATACTCTCAGTCACTTTCAATTTCTGTGAATGGCCAATGCAATCCATTCTGTGAATACCCTTACTCTTAGAATAGTCATATAAGCATCACTCAGTCAGGCAATGTATTATTATAAATTAAGAGGAATGCAACGTTATTGTAAATAACTTTTTAAAAGGTTTTATATATGAATTTGAAACCTCATATCTGTGTATTTTTAGTCTCTTAAGCCACTACTTCCTAACAAAACATTTGCATGTCAGTACACCTACTGGGCGTTATTTGATCCTTAAATGTGATTTCTCGGCTTTAAATCTTTTTCTTTTAGAATGTTGCTAGGGATAAGTTTTATCTCCAGCTCTTCATTTGTTAGACAAATATACACAAGACAAGGGTCTGAGAATTTTTCTCAATCCAAAATCTAGATACCTCGAAAAGAACTTGACTCCATAGAACTGCAGTTACCACGCTGAGTGTGCCATTTCAAATTTGCACCCTTTTGAAGTCAAAGAAATGCAAAATATGGATGTTGTTTGCACAGAAGTATGTTTTTGTAGTTTAGTATGCACATTAAATCTTGTTGTGTACGTCCGTGTAGATACAGCAAGTTCGCGTAATCGGTTTTACCATCAGACGCATATATTTTACCTCAAAGCCGTGAAACCGACTGTGATTGTGACTGATAAACGTTTTGGCCTAAGCACCGAAGTACCTCGAGAATGTTTTGTGCTGGATATGTCTGATTGATTCTGCCCAGCTTTCATTCTTCCAGTCATCTGCCATTTTCCGCAATAGTTTAAGTATCTTTTTACTTCCTTCTACGAAGTAAAGGAAGTATTGTAATCGCAAAAATTTTTGGGTTCCATATTCCAACGAAAATATCCATTCTGAGCTTTCTAGAATCCATTTGAAATATTCTTGCAAGATATTTGTACGTGCGGACATAATAATGAAATCTTTTTCCCAAAACGAATTGTAAATGGATTTAAAATACACTGACTACCAATAAGTATTTGGACACTTGTGATAGAAAAGAAAAACTAACTTTATTCAAAATCAATATTTGGTAGAGCCTCCACGAGAGGTAATTCCAGCGTGGACCCTCCGGGGAATACTTTCCACAAGTCTTTGTATGACAGCTAGTGGTATTTTCTTCCACTCGGCTTGGAGAAGACATAGAAGTTCCTTCACCGATTTTGCACGGGTAGTTCACCCTTGAATTTGGCGATGCAACTCGTCCCAGAGGTTCTCGATAGGGTTCAGGTCTGGACTCTGGGCAGGCCAGTCCATTCTATAAACTCCATTGGCACCATACCAAGCCTTGGTTAACGTCGAAACATGGCAACTGGCATTGTCGTCCTGAAAGTAACAGGGGTCCAACCCGTAAAACTGCCACAACGTAGGAAGCACATTGTGATCCAAAATAGTGCAGTAGGCATCGGAGTTGAGCTTACCATGAATGGGGACCAAGGTTAACAGCCCATACCAGGGAGAAACACCTCCAGACCATAATTCCACCTCCGCCGAACTTGACTGTTGGCACAATGCATTCTGGCAGGAGACGTTCTCCAGGTAGACGCCAGATCCAGACCCTGCCATACGAACGGTAAAGGGTGAACCTTGATTCGTTACTCCAAAGAACCCGTTTCCACTGATCTACGGTCCAATTTCGATGTGCTTTACACCACATTAACCGAGCAGCGCGGTTGGACTTTGTGATCAAAAGGCTTATGGGCAGCAGCACGACCATGAAAACCAAGCAGATGTGCTTCCTTACGGATGGTATTCATTGAAACAATACTCCCGGATGCCTGTTGAAACTCCTCGCGGATGAGGGCATCGGTTGGGTGCGGTTCTTCCGAATTTCTCTGGACAGCACTCGTCGGTCTCTATCTCCCAGTTTCGCTGGTCTGCCGACTCGGGGCACATTCCGACAATCACCGCTCACCTTCTACTTCTTAATCACATAGGCCACTGTCGATTTGGGTACTTCAGATCACTAGATATGCCCTTTAAGGATCGGCCACATTTGTGACACCCGATAATTATACCTTTCTCGAAATCAGAGAGCTCCGAACTGCGAGGCATCTTGCATGCGACTAAAGCCGATGCTGTTTCCTACACGATATATACCGGCGGAGTCCGTGACGTACCTTAGGACCGCAGGTATCGTCATTTGCATAGGTGTCCAAATACTTATTGGTAGTCAGTGTAGATTCAGAAGAGATTTTTTTTTCTTGACGTCTGCACGTAGTTACGCATGTATGTATTTCGCATAACTCAAAAAGGAGTAGCCTCAGTAAGTTGAAATTTTGCATATGGGACTACTATAACATGTAGTTGTGCACTTCTCTTTTTTGAATCCAGGCATATATATACACTCTGCTACCCAGCTCAGTCAGCTCAGTTTTTTTATTCATATGTGTTGGTAAATTGTGCATTTTTTGCTTTCAAAATTATTGAATTATGTTGTTCTTATCTTTTAACTGTATTTGGTCTTTATATTTTTCAATATTTTTAAGTTTTAAGGATATTTTGAGGTTTTATGCATTTTTTGCCTTGCCGCGAAATGAGAACTGAATAAATTGAATGAAAAATTTATCTCTAATGAAATACGAGGAAAAGAGTTTAAATGAAATCCAGTGATAAAATCGTGTTGTTCTTATGTATCGATTACGCTTTCATGTCTTTAGTTAATCTGCATACAATAGTTGTAGAATTATCAACAATTTAAAAGCTACTAAAGTGCTACTAAACCATTTGTTTACATTTGAAACTCTTAGTATAATAGTGAATTAAGTCAGTTTCTGCACCAACTTCAGTGTCTTTTTGCCGAGTGGGACCAAAACTAAACTTTCAACTAATTTTAATTGTTTTTAATCGTATTTGGTGTCTTTCTGTCTTTTGCAATTTAAGAATTACAGCAACGTGCGCCCAAGAGCATCACCAATGCATTCTAACAGCAAATGCTTATATATCTATGCAGCTGACGCATTCATGTAACATCATCCACGTCCCTGTTTGTCCATTCGACTTCACAGAGAAGCAAATGCATTCCCGAGGCAGGCGTCCTGGGACTCGTAAATATCCCAGGAGGCTTGCCTTAAGATAGTGGACATCATGGGACATATACCTGCTTACCTTTCTTAGACACCAGTTGTCCCCGTCCTCCGTCACCTGTATTTTACAATTTTTAATGAAGATGTTTTGAGTTTTTATGTATTTTTGCCTTGCACAATGTGAGAACTGATTCAAATGATTGAGAAAAAGATCTCTAATGAAATTGGAAGAAATAAGCTTAAATGAAATGCAGCAAAAAATATGTATAATTTAATAGGCTGTACAAGGAAGTCATGTGGTGTCCACATCAATTTTTTTTGTTGCATATTCAAACAAACAATAATCAAAACTTTCTCTTGCTAAACGAGAAACATTTCCAAAGTAGCGATTATTTATGCGCGATTTGAGCATTGCTAGTCATTAGTAACATTATCTGCTAAAGTAACTGCTGTCCGCCATTCAAAAGGCAGAATTAATCGCCGAGATAGATATCTAATATTGTCACGTGTTAATCCAATGCTTTGTCAAACTAAATATGTACTCATGGTTGTAAGGCAACTCAGGAATCTGTTTTACCCAAGTTTGATTGATTGATTTAAATCAACCTTATTAATTGATATTACCTTGTAAGGATCCTAAGTTTTACTAACGTTTATTTTATTTTAAATCTTTACTATCACTTCTTATTTTCTACTTCCGGCCAGAATTAAAAGCTTTTACTTATTTATGCAAATTTGTCTTGCTAACGCCAAGTGCTTAAGTTGTGGCTTTTTGCCAAGCAAGAGAGGGGAAGGAGTTATTAGAAGCAGGCCGCTGGCCATAGTAGTTTTACTCGTTTGCTGGTTGCCTTCAAGGCCAGAGGTTTAATCCTCTTGATAATTTTAAACGTATCGTAGTTTTAGCAGCTCTCTGTACTACATACGGATTTTTGTTAAATAACGGCCAATCTTGAAGTTAGGCACTTGTATATTAATCCAAAGTTAGTTTTAGTTAGAGTTTTTAGTTAGTATTTTTTATATTCTTACGTTCAGACCACAAGTGGTTGGTCTCTGTATTCCGAAGTTTCGGAAATCGCTGTAAAAATAGAAAAATAAAGGGTTTCGTACACCCTTCCTGTGTGTATTGTCTACTTCATAATTTATTGAACATAGCTTTAGTAAGCTCCCTGTTCCGAGTCAGGACAGTTCATGTTTCCAAAGCATGTAAAGAGGAACACAAGTCCTGATAACCTTTATAACAACAGTTATCAATTTTAGCCCCATTTTCGTTGCATACTTCATTACAACTTTTTTACTTGCATACTTTTATTTACACAATTTTTTTAAATTCTGATTCGATACTCACTTCAAACAAAAGAAATCAGTCAAATTTTATTAACCAACCATCTTCCATTAAAATGCATATTTTTGTTCAGATTTTCATTATCTGTATATAAAAGCCCGAATGGTTTTCTGTCCGATTCCTTTGCTTGCATAAATTTGTGTAATGCTACATATGATGTCTTTGCAGCCCGTACTCGTGTTACCCAATGTATCTCCTCGCGTCAGTCTGGAGAGGATATTATCAGAGATGGGACTTCGCAGAATGGCATCGCTTATACACATGGCTAATCTGCAAACATATCTCCAAACAGCAGGTAAGTAAGAAATGTCTTCCACAAGGATGTCACCTTCTTGAGAATATTTTTGTTCTCAAAATTATATCTGAAAACATTTTATGCTCGAAATGTTAAAATAATAATAATTAGATCACTTTAATAAATAGAGTTTGTGATAATTCGAATGTTTAATTTATTCATCTAGTATAATTCCAGATTTTCGATTTTCAGAATATTTTAGCTTTCCCATTAATCTGATCCAAAATTCAAATTCATAATTTATGTATGTTATTTATATGGGAAAATTTGTCCCTTAACTTACAAAGCTTACAATTTTGAGTTTAGATTTCTGCAGTTTTTAATAAGAAATGAAAGTTGCAGATTTAAAGGCTTTAGCGCTTTTATTTATTTATTCATTTTTGTCCCTAAAAGCGAAATCAGAAAGAAACTTCAAAGATTCGAATAAAATAATTTCCCAATGTGCCAATAAATTATTTAGCAACAAAGCTCTAAATTTTAGTTTTAATTAAGATTTTATTTCATGGAATGCCAGTTTTTTAGTTGGTTAATTTAGTTACTTATTTAATTTTTGATGAATTCGAAAGGGAAAGTTCTATAAAAAGGTTTCTTTATCTTCTCATATCTTAAAAATATGACTGAAAAACTAATTTTATGATTCCGGTTTGTAAAATAGTTTACTAATTAGACTGAACTACAAGTCTTGGCTATATTCCATTATTTTATACATTAATGCTTCGAGTACGCAGTCTTTAACGAAAATTTCTTTTTCAAATTTATTACGAACAAGAGAACAAATAATGTAAATTTTTAACAGCAATAGCTACATCACTATTTTTAGGCATAATATAAATTAAGATACTAAATTGTATATTCTTGCGGACAATTTAGTTGCCCTAAATATGAAAATCATTTGACGTAAACACATGGTCTGTTTTCATATTTTGTTAGCTCAGCCAAAGAATCTCTAAGGAGAAGAATGAAAGCTTCCATAGACGCAATGTAAACCTGTTTCGCCTCTGCGCCGCTGTACGGAAGAGCCACGGCTATGCAGTGAAACACCAGCGCAGTGTGAAATTTAAACAGCGCAGTTCGAGGGGATAGTAAATTTTTTACTTTGAAATAACTCAAAATGTTTTATTTTCATACATTTCTGGAGTTTTATGAGCAAAATATGTTAGTTGGAATTTTGGGGCGAATTATAGAAATCCTGTCCAATTTTTACTTTCAATTTAAGCAGCGAGCCGTACGAAGACAAAATTTAAATGAAATAAATTTCTTAATTCTTTTCTTCTGTAAACTTAAAAGGGGGGAAAACACATGCATACAAAACGTAATAAATTTTTATGGATCCCATAGTTTAAAATTTTACAGTGAAATTTTAAAAGCAAATTTGCAAATAACTAACTGAGAAAAAAATATTTAAAGACAATTAAAGGCACTCCTAAATAAATTGGAAAACACTGAAATACATTATAATTATCCGACAACAACTTTAAAAACAAATTACCATGAAAACGTTTAGACAATTATTTGGAATGACCATTGTGAAAACCAAGAGCAAAGTTTCACCCAATAGCCAAAAACCATTTCACTTACAGCATTACATTTAAAAAAGTCTTTAAAAGAATTTCACATAGCTAAAACCAAGTACCTCTGACTACAACAAAAAGAACGTTTTCGAAAACGTGGTAAAGATTGCTAACATGGCCGACGGCATGCTGCATTCTTTGATGCTGCTTTGTTGCCTCCTGATGTTATTTCGCACATGCGCAGTGAGGTACGGAGGGTGGATAGCTTTGGAATGGTTTGCCCCTTTAAAGTAAGCTTCAGGGATATACATAATGTGTCTCTTAGGTCTGACGGAGCCACATTTGCCCCGGGGAACCTTTACTTCTTCTCCTTAGAGATTCTTTGGCTCAGCTACAACCAAAAATTCGAAAGACCATTTTATTTTTTATTCTCCGAAGATAGTGTATTTTAACCCATACCACATAATGCTGAACTGTCGGCAGGTTAGAACTCATCAGTTTAATGGAAGTGTTCCTTAAATTCTTCGTTATATCATTTATCTGCAGAAATTGCTATAATTTTTCTGCTTATTATTCTGCGATTTCACAATTATAAACGCAATTTCGAAGCAACGAAAAAGTAAGCAGAAACTAAGCTTTGGGTCACTGTCCAATGATTCTTGTATAATTGATTGGTCAAACCACAACCGAGCAGCAAGAACTAATGTAATTATTGCACTAATCGTTCTGCATTTACAAGAAGATCGGTAGTAATTCTTTATAATTCATTTCCCTGTTGCTCTATAAGTGCATCTTCCATCTGTAGTAGGGTCGATATCATTTGGATTCTTCACAAGCGAATCGCGATTCGACCTTCAGATTGAATACCAATCGATTTTAATGTGAAGAACGTTTGTCACCAAGTTATCCAGCGGAAAACTCTGTCGAATGCCTTCCCTTTGGTGATGGTGTTTTAATACTGTTGCGAAATACCCAGCTGCGACAAAATAGCTTCCTCGCAAGGCGGTGCTAGGGTTGCCACAAAGTGGCAGGAAAGGTAGGATTGCTGTATTTGGCGCGAAATCGTCCATTTGGCGACAAAATTGGCGATACGCCATAGACAGAGCGAGAACATTCTAGAACGCATTTTTAGGGGTTTTCCTCGGGAATGTTCTCGAAAGTAGGTTAAAGCTATATATACCCTGCCTGTACGCGGTGTAGTAGTAGTATCTTGAGTTCAGTAGTAATGTTTTGATCTCAGAGATAAGCTTGAGAGCGACTGTAGCTTGAGGGCTTGAGAAGCTGTACTGTAGTGCTTTGTCGTGAAGCTGTCTTTACTGTTGTAGCCTGAAGGCTGTGTTTCTGATTGTTTCAGCGTGTTTATCGCAGTTTTTCGATGACTGTAAACGTGTCTTGGGAACTGTCCTGTATAATATTGGCGAATAAATTGTGTATTGATAGTTCATCGAGTGTTATCATAAATTATTCCAAACCCCCTCAACGCAACAGTATTACAGCTATGATTTTCTTTTGACTTCCTCAAAAAAGGATAAAAAACAATAGCGTTTAAGACGAAAATTTAGCAAATTTAAAAAATAAATAAATAAAAAAATAGATGTAAAAACTACGCAGTAGATTTATTCTGAAAGAATTTCATTCCTAAATGAAATAAATAACAATCAGTAGTAAGACATAAGAAATAAAATGTATTTTATAATTTAGATAATACAGCGTCTCTTGTAGATGAGAACAAACGAATTTTTAGCCCTGTCGGCTTATTCCCTACAAGTCAATTAAACTTCTTATATTCTTTAGCTACATGAACAGATTACTGGGACTTCATAGATTGTAAGAATTTTAATTTTAAAATTGACTTTTTGATGTACTATACAAATTTGAAAGATTTTTAAATGTATGACTTTAATATGTCTTTGTAGAACAATATTTAAGGAGCTAAAACATAAGACATAAGCTATGAACTTGCTTTTCCATAATGCGTATGTAGTTACGCAATAAAAGTACTGAAAATAATATTTCTTATTCAATAATTCCTTACTTGTTTTTCCTTGACACTTTAACAATTTTTACTTTTCAGGACCTGTTACGCTGTTTGCTCCAACAGATGAAGCTTTTTCTTTGTCTTCACCCCCAAAAGACTTGAATCGACTCCGAGATTTCATACTCCAGCACGTGGTTCGCGGTCGGATCGCAATAGAAGATGTTCGCAATGACGTCACCATTCCCAGTCTACGGTCTGGATCGCATCCCCTACGGTTTAATGTATATGACGATGGTCAAGTGAGTTTTTATTCAATGTTATTACTTCCTTTCATATAACCTTCCTTAAGGACGCTGAAAATAAAACATAAAATAAAAAGAAGGAGTTAAGAAGAGCAAATCGGTCATCAAAATAGAAAATCATGTTTTCTTTCTCTTTTCTGTACTAGAGTCAAGGTGAAGTTTATAAATCTTTAGAGAAATTATTAATACACATTTAGTATTAAAATAAATTTTAAAGAGCAATGTTCAAATCACTTTTAATGTGTGGAGCAGAAGATAAAGCTTAGGATAAAGATAGCTTTAACCTTAAGATAAATTCTCAGGTCAAAAATAAGGCTCAGCCCTGGCTCCATCAAAATCAAAATTTCAGGTAGGCATTTTACTAAAACTAAAAAAAAAAAAAAAAAAAAAAAAAAAAAAAAAAAAAAAAATCTGAAATTTTTCAGATTTTTAATTACGTCCAAAGGGGCGTTTTTTTAACGTTTTGAGTGTTACCTTTATTTATTAAATATCATGTTCTTTGCACTTAAACCATAAAATTCAGTTCAAGAGCAATATCGCAAAATAATGTTAAATTAAGCATATCGTTAGAATTTCCGATATACACAGTCTCGCGAGCTGGAGATAAAAGTATTTTTTTTTCTATATAACGTTGCCATTTCTCGCTTTTAAAGCATTGAGTTTGTAAATCAAAAATTCGTTAAAGTTTTACAAAATATAAAATCTATAATAAAACAAATTCCAAATTTGGGATTTCAGATGCCCATATTCGCAGTAGGATTTCGTCATTCAAAATTCGATGGCTCTATGTACCATTGTTTTATCACAATGCGAGAAATAGACAATCATTTATGCAGATTTTTCATTATTTAATTTCTTCAAATATAATGCAGGACTCTAACATTTTGTGGCAACAGTTTGAAAAGTGAACCGACGTTTATGAGTTCGACGCAAAATGCCAAAACGAAAGCAATAGTCCTTCGAGACTGAAATCCCTTTGGACTAATAAATAACTCATCTAAGGAAACATAACGAATTTCAATAAAATCTGCTTTATTTCTCTCCTTATGTCAAAACTTACAAACTGCATTTTAAAGTGTCATCGATCTATTTAAATGTAAGATATCTAGTGAAGTAATGCGCAAAATTTATAATGAAAAACATTGATAGTAATTAAATCATAATAATAAAGTAATCTAACGATTCATCGTAAAAAGTGTCATAGTGAGATACCATCGTAATCATCTATTAAAAATGAGGCAATGTCTAAACCATTTCTAAAGTATATTTGTGTATTTTCATGGTATCCAGGTTTTCTGTTTCGTTAGAATTTATAGGCCCGTGAAAGAGGTGATAAAAAAGAACATATATCCGAAATCAATGTATTTATTGCATTGTGCTGGAGCCCCCATATTACTCAAAAACTTTTAGTGCAACTCTAATATTTTGGCATTGGTTTCTTATCTCTTTTTTTTATAGAAGCTTTTAGTTTTTCGGGAGTAATGTATTCGACACGTTCGAAAACGTGGTTGTTGTTTTGATTTATCTCACTTGTCTGACAACAGCATCAGAACAAGCCCACGAAATTCATCCTGGCAAGAAGTGAAAGATTGTGCCTGTCGTTGGCAACAGCCTTGAGTACTGTGCAGGTGACAGTACTACTTTGCTCAGTTTCATCCCCAATTTTGATGCGCAGCACCCCGTAGGAACGGGTCCGAGGGTCTTCCATCGCTCTTCCCCCCACCACTAACCTCTCGAGAGGACTTTCCGCTTGCCGCATATTTAGAATGCCCCCATGTCGCACAGACACTATACCATTGTGACCTCCAGAATCATCCATGTCATCTCCGAAATTCGAACTTGGGCCTTTCAGTTCGGCTGTCAGAGACATCAGTGAATATCCCGGTGTGAGAACACAGTGAACACGGTGGCTGTATCGATTCCTAAATTTTTATCGCGCCCTGCCACGTGCATCACAGTGGATAAAAACTGGAAGGACTGGTTTTGTCTTCCTCTTTCTGCCTGTCGTCGTGTTAAAGAGTGTGTGGGCCTTCGGGCCACACACACACACACATACAGCTCTCGCCATCGTCAACGGTACTCGATCTAAAGGTCCATTTTTCTAGGATAGAGGAGAAAATATGTTCTTGTACGAAGAATATAAAAAATCAGGTAAACTTTACTGATTAGACTGCGAGGTAAAAAATTGTTCCTGTGATGTGACTCAACGTGTATAATCCTGACAGTTGGATATTTCGAAGTGACGACCATGTGCGCCAATTTCAAGCCTATCTGCTAGAAATTTGATCTCTTCTATCACGAGTAAGTGCACTGCATATTATTAAGCTTCTTTGCAAGATGCTGATAAGTAATGTGCCTTTGTTGCAGCAAGATTAGGAACTGCAATATACCGTAAAAATGAAACGCTGTGACAGTCCCGTCGGACTAACGAGTAGCACATGCCGCAGGGCATTCATGAATGTGTTTTTTTTATAACATATCGAATATAGGCTAATCAAGAAAAGTGTATTTTTGTGATTTATATAGGTTAATCAAGAAATGTGTGTTTTTGTGATTTAATAAATGTATATTTAAAAGAGAGATACTGATTCATGCATGCTTTATTGGGTAAGTCATTTGATTCTTATTATTAATAATCATGCAATGTACTAACCACTAAATTTTTAGATTAACGATTTACGCGGAATTAATTCACATTTAATACTCTTAGTATAATTACTTTTATACGATCACGGCCAGCAACACCACACCCGGTTGGACGGCACATTCGAAAGCATTACTGATATAAGCAGTTTTACCATCCTATCCATCTCATCCATTGCGTGGCCTCCCTGTTTCGGCCGTAGGAAAGCTAAAGAGTTAAGTCGCCACAGAAAGAAATTTAAAGGGGGTGTGTCCAGATACAGACTATCTTCCCAGGGAACCAAACTTTTCCAGTTTTTTCCCCCAATCTATATAAAACACAATGCAATAAATACATTAATTTCGGATATATGTGTCATTCTTTTCCATTACGTCTTTCCCGGACGCCTTGTATTTTAGTCTTGTCAGAAAAGATGCATACTTATCTAAAAATAATATTAAAAATTAATCTCCAGTTGCTCTAAATCTATTGTTTCTTACTGCAGTTATCAATGTTTGAATGAAAAATGACATTTTACGTATTACTTTTTATTTTCTTTCAGATCCTAAGCGTATCAGGTTCTCAATTTCTGGATGATGCTCGGGATGCGGGTGACATTCGAATCCAGCCAGTGGACAGTGTACTTTATCCTATTTCCAATGATGATCTGACAACTGAAGTCAAGTTATCTTTTCCACGTATGCACCAATATCTGTTGAAGGCATCTCTGACAGAACAGCTTAATAGTAAGTTCTCATCAATCCAGTTGCTAAATGAATTTGAACACTCTAAAACTAAAGACCAAAATTTTCCAGTTCAAAAGAATTTTGCTCCGTGTAAATTTTTCGTTATTTAATTAAGATTTTATTCCTGCTAAACGGCTATTTGTATGAAATCGTTCAATCAGCATTTTACTTTATTTCTTACGATTTTTACATTCATTTTCTTAAAAATTTAGGACGTTGTTCATTAAATAGTTATAATTTGGAAAAATTATTTGGTAATGAAACGAAGAATGGAAGGTGTCGGTAAATTAATATTTCTTGATAATTTCTTGATGATGAGATTATTAAATTATTTAAAGGGTTTAACCAATCCCAATGAATGCCTTAAGTTGCAAATGTATGGTCATTTGAAACAAGAACATTTCTTAATAAAATTGTTTATTTAATTAAGTAATATATTAAAGTTGTTCCAAAACCTGTTAAAAGTAAATATTAAATTAATAACCTTTAATAAAATCACTTATTTAGTTGCACAGAGAACGTAATAATGTAGTAGCAGTAAATATTAATTTAGAAGTCAAACAACAAAAATCAGCGTAATATTTTTCAAATTTTCACAGGACTAGTTTCGATGGTTTTACCGAATCATCCTCAGCCGCAAAAGCACAAATAAACAAGGTAAGATATAATGATTAGATAAGATAAGAAAGTCTGGACAGGAGATAAGCTACTGGCGCCATCTGTTGATGAAACCAGAACTAAAACATAATTTCTTTAAAGGCTGAAAGCAAAGATGGGTTGGAATTAGAGTCGTTAGCTAGAACAGAAAGATTTTTTTGAATGTGAAATGCCTCTAGAAAATCCAGCTCACCAACGGAAGATGTTTTATTTGAATAATTTGGGCAACAGAAGACTTCCGTGTTTCTTTTTTTCTAACATATGCCTCATGTTCCTTAACGCGAAACTTTAAGGCTCTCTTAGTTTGACCAATGTAAATAAGCCACACTGGCAAGGAATCCTGTAAATACCCCAGGAATTCATATCCGGAAAGGGATCCTTGAGTATGGAACTCGGAATTTTACTGATGGGAGAATAAACGACCCGAAAGTTAAATTTCTGCAAAATACGTGCACCTTTATAGCTAATTGATGGAAAGAAGGGAATGACAACATAATTTTTATAATCTCCTAAAACAAGAGTGTGTCTTTGGGTGTGTTGAGATGAGAATTTTTTAATTTTCCATTGGTGAACTGGATTTTCCAGAGGCATTTCACATTCAAAAAAATATTTCTGTTCTAGTTAACGACCCTAATTCCAATCCATCTTTGCCTTCAGCCTTTAAAGAAATTATGTTTTAGTTCTGGTTTCATCAACAGATGGCGCCAGTAGCTTATCTCCCGTCCAGGCTTGTTTATCTTATCTCGTTCATTTGCTCTTTTGCAGCTGAGGAAGATAGGTCGGTAAAACCATCGAAACTAGTCCTGTGAAAATTTGAAAAATATTACGCTGATTTTTGTTGTTTGACTTCTAAATTAATATTTGTTCGGCAAGTTATTGTATCTTAATAGCAATGAATATTTTAAAATGTGTAAACCAGAATGTAATGTTTTAAATTATGTTTTATTGATTCTCAGTAAAATAATAATTAATTTAATTCCTGAAGAAATAATAAACTTTTATATTAAATAAGGCGTTTAATTATTATATCCTGCACACTTTCCTTCATTTCAAATTTTGTAGCTTGAAATGAAACGCTTTATTTATTAAAATTATATAAGCTTCATCTAAACTTCACCTTTTAGTATTATAAAAATTTAACGCCATTTAGTAAAATATTTTTTCCAAGGTTCGGCCTTTTTCAAATATACAGAATCAAATAGCATTATGTTCACCAGTTCCAAAATTATGTATATTGCAACAAAATTCACTAAAACATTTCCTAGGCATTTTGGAAATAAATATAGTTACAATTGGCTTCAGAAAAACGTGTACAGTATTTTAACAGATGAAATTTAGGAGAAAATATGGCCTTCTAAATAGCTAAATATGAAAGACAGCTTATATACAGAGTTAAATTTCCAACAACAATTACTAATTTAACTTTTGGCAACATTATTTTCTTTGTTTTGCTATTTCGTTAGTTAACATTATTATTATAAATATGCTATTTATTCTATTCGTAGGTGGGACTTTCACGCTGTTTGCTCCAACAGACGACGCTTTCGATTCTTTGACACCCGAACTAAGAGGGAAGTTAATGCAAAACTCCACACTCCTCAGAAGTAAGTTGGAATTTCGTGAGATCCTAATAAATTAATATTTATCTTCTTAAATTTTTGAGGAAAATACATATACCGAAGGGACTTTATAACATTGTGTGCTCACATCGAAAGAACTGCATGGAAACACAGATGTAAGGTATTAAAAAATTTTAGTTGTAAGCTTCTTCCCTCTCCTTACCGTGTGCTTTCGTGGTGTAACTGGAATGCAAATCCGGCTAGCATCGGGAAATCCGGGATCCGAGTCCCAGCGAGTAACACTACACATTGTTCACGTTTCCTGCTCTTTTAAATACCATATCATTTTACATTTCTAATTATTATCTTGCTTTTGCAGGGGGCAACAGTTTTACATAATAAAAATAGGTGTAGCTAGTTTCATATAGTAAAATATTGTTAAATAAAAAGTAACTTTATATAATAATTAATGTTATTTTTATATAATAAAATATTTAAAATAGTTTTGTGTAATAAATAATAGGTTTACATATGATAAAAATAAGTAAATTCGTTTTGTAACTATTCGTAATTGTTTGTAATTTTCTAAGTGTTTATGAGTTCATTAGTAATATATCGATCTCATATTATTATAGTTTATCACCATCAATCACCATAGAATATAAGATAATGCTTTATTACTCTATAAAGAAATAATTTTGACTGTTCGCGTGCTATTTAAAACTTATTTCAAAATGCAAGAATATATTACGCTTTTCGAGCCAGAAGACACACCAATCAGGACATGCTACCACTTACACCATAGAGGTACAGAATAGAGAAGACGAAAATTCCTTACATTCTTCCTCAGTTTAAGATCGACTGGGAAGAGAGGAGAGCCAGTCACTAAATCCAGGTGGTGGCGAATTATTTCCTAGGATCTCCAGATCTTCCGAATGCTACTCGGATAGATTACCATTTAAATACGGCTGCACATAGTGGGAAGGACAAAATTCTTCACAAAAACACAAGGTATGACTAAAAGAATAATGAGGTTTCAAATTTAATAAGAAAGTTTATTTTTTTACCTTATGAGTACCCCACATATACCCTCAGAAGCGGTAATTGTCCAAGTTTCTCATACGTTGAATACGAGCTTTTTTTATTGTGCATCTGAATTAACATCATACTTGTAGTACTCAAAGTCGTTCAAAATCTGGTGTAATGAATGGCCTGTAAGTTATACATTATCTGATTACAAAATTTATGGTTGAGCGTGGGTAATGGTAGTACCTAAATGCTGTCTTTAACAAATTCCCTCAGTGAAATGTCGCTTGCTGTAAATCTTGAAGACTAGGTTAACCAAGAAAGAAGGTCGTTGTCGCTAACTACAGCACATTCGATTGTAAAATTGTAGAACATATTTGAAGAATCACTTGTTATATTCCTATGAAACGTGGAGGGGAATTTCGTCCGTTTTCAGAACGAATTCGCTACCGTTATTATCCATTTGAGCAGTTTTCTATTAATCATGTCATGAGCATTAAACCACAGTTGATTCGGGAGGAAATAAGGACACTGCACTGAAAGAATTAACTTTTGGAGTGTCTAGCTACTGCTTCTTTGTGTACGAATATCGCGCTGCACTGTAATCACAGATCTGGATTCTCCTGTTGAGATACTGTCCTGGAAACTACCCACTTAGCCTGTCAGTAGGCATGAGAAGAAAACTGCTAGGTGCTTTTTCATATACAGCTCATAGACAGCTGTTTCTGCTGACGGTTTGAGTTGTGTCTACGTAAGATGAAAAATGAATAGGCAATGCACTTTAAAATATCATCATTATTTTATGCATGGCCAGATAATTTATTTCCCTTATATATAGCTGTTTGCGATAATTTATTTCCCTTATATATAGCTGTTTGCTGCTTCTGAGGGTATATCTGTAAACTTATCTAACACTTTATTTTAATCTAATTATGTGAAACAATTATGCTGAGATTATAAGCAGAAAATTAAGTGAATTTAAGAATCGCCGAAAAGAAGGAAAATTTTAACCTTATGATTTTGTTTACATTTTAAATATTAATAATGTCAATGTTATAATTAAGTAATCTGAGTAATTAAATGTTAAAATGTCAGTTCCTATGTTCTGAATAAAATTCATTGTTCTGTTAATAAGCATAGTTATGCTTCGCATAATAAACTCGTGCAGGAAACCCTGCATGTTTTGCATTATTATCTTAATTCAATGTTACGTGTTCGTAACGTGGGGACTTGTAATTGGGAACTCGCATGTGAATTTCCCAGCTCGGAGCAAAGTTTGTTTTATTACCTTTCTTAAGAGAAAATACAGAACTAGATTTTCTCATAAACAAGGATATCGAGCTAAGGAGCGAGCAAATAAATATTTTTTTATATTATGTGACCACTAAATACCTCCAGGAACTCTTTATCCAAGAATACGAAAGCATCCAAAGAGAGATTTCTTCATGTGAGGAGGAGAAGAACGATTTTCCCCTCCTGGAATTAATATGGCCTTCTGAAAAATCGGAAATCTGGTTCTACAAAAGAGAAAATTCTTAAAACGAAACTTTATTTAATTAGGAATGAGAAAAAGTTTAAATCACAGCTGCTAAGTATTGGTATCTCAATAAACGGAAGTGAAACAGAAGCTTACTCTAATTAATGTAATTAATGACAGTACCGTACATTGCTTCAAGGCCATCTAAAAATTGGAGACCATTTTAGGCAACATCTTGAAGCATGGATGTTTCAAAGTACAAAAGGGAAACGTCAAAGGTGGTTGAGCAAAGTCTTCAATATATGTTTATGTACTGGGAAAATTCATGCTAAACTGAACTAAAACACTAGAAAAATGTGCACAAGTATAGTATATGTAATTATTTTTATAATTCATAAATTATTTAATTCCTAGCATTTTCAAACAATGTTGGTAGTTCTATTGTTCTCTCAATTTTTTTACGATATTTGCAATTCTGGGCCAATAGAGAACGAAATGAAATTTTTCCCAAAGTAACCTTCAGAAAACAAGATTCTTCATAATGCATGCCATCGCAGAAATAACAGCTTTCGTTATGTGAATCACTACTAACAGGAGATAATAGTGAATAGTTTCAAACATTCTCTTGGTGAACTTTCTGTGCAAAAGTGTTTTGTACTTAACTCTTCCTATTTTTTTTTCAGAAGTTCTTCTCAATCATGTGGTTCCAGGTACACACTACAGTGCTGTACTAGCTCACGGATTTGCTTTGAGATCTCTTGGTGGAGAGCCCATCTATTTTACTAATCGAAGAGGTACTGTAATCATAAGCTTTTTACCTAAACAACAACCACAATTAATGCAGTTTGACAGTTGAAATATGAAAGGTCGTTTGCGCTTTACGGAAACGATTTTGATAGTTAATTTTTATTAATAAAGCATGTATTTCTTGGGGGGATTGACTTCTGTTTGATAGTCTTGAGTCTTGGCTACAGCACTAACTGAAAGTTTAGAGAAATTAAAATTTTTCTTAGCATCATCATATTAATTTTATCCCACTCCTCTTGGGTCATTTTCCAAATTCCGTTCAGTATTCTTGGATGTCTTTTTTCCAAGACTCTCTTTCACGAATCGAAAATGCGAAAGTCCATAGGAGAAGCGTCAGTTGAATTTACATTATTTCACTAAATGAGATGCATTTTGTTTTCCTGATTCTAAATGGTTCTTTGTTAAATAAGCGGCAGTTGACTTATATATGTGCCTAGAGGTTGGTTCTAAAATATTATGCTGATAGTATAGTGTTAGAGATAGAAATTTGCATTTCTTCCGTTCGCGATTGCGCTGAGCAGAAAAGGCAAACTAGTATATAGTTTTGCGGATTGTTCCTGCCGAGGAGGAGACGAGGAGAACCGAACAGAGAAAGGCCAGTCTGTCTTCCCGATTCTGAGGGTCCTGAACTCTAATCTCCCTGCTACGTCTATCTGACGATGTTTGCCTACGTGGCCACCCGCTGTGATTCTACTCGAGCATTCTGGATTATCTATCAACGTCGCCAAATACCTGCTTATATGAAAAGGACTGTTAAGCAGGATCAATTCCCATTGTACCAAGCTAGTACATTTCGTACGTTATCTATCGTATAAGTTCATTAACGTGTCAAAGTCTAATTCATTAATGTGTCAAAGTTGTAGTTGAAGATCTTGTGTTCTTTGAAGAATCCTGAGAGTCACGCGCAGTGGTGTGTGTAAATCCAAGGTTCTCTGCTGCAGAAGTATAAAACTGCACCAAGTTGAAATATTAAACATAAAATTTTCAGATACAACATATAGCAAATTAATTGTAGCTTTGATTTAGACTTTCTTTAGTTTTAATTTACCGTTCAAACAAAATCCTGCAAGTATCATGAATCTCGTTGGAAACTTTTCTGTACATTTTGCGAAGTTGTACGGACATTTTCGTCAGTTGAGAAATAGTAAATTGATGTTTTTTTTTTAAATTTCAGTCACTTAAATATATCCTTACCTGATCGTGTGTTACTAATAATCTCCATTTATCAGTAGACAGAAGTTTTTATGTAATTTTATAATTTTTTCTTTTCGCAATATGCTTTGGCAAAAGCAGATGAAATTTACGTTTAAACACTTTTGTTAATTCCAAATTTTTATAAAATGATTTTACTTATAGTGCCAGAAGACGGTTCCGATGCATGAGTCAGTAGATTATCTTCCAAAACCACAGACTTCACTTACTTGATACTTTCTCTTCTGTTTTTACTTGATAATAACCAGAGTTCGAACCGTCTTAGGATGCGATTTTGTGACCATTTTTTTCTCGCTTTCAAATATAATATATTAAAAATGATTTTCTTTGAAATGCAATAACCTCGATTTTTACATCATTTTACAATTGGTTGGTACGAATATGTTTCTTCTGAAAGTATATTTATGTGGCCTGCAAGATATCTATTAATTTTATAAGCTATTCCCAAAATAAATTTTTTGTTCGGCGTTCTACTTAAAACAAAAGAATAACAGATGATTATATTGAAAATGCCAAATCTTTATTTCAAAATGCTAACTAGAAAATTTAAATAAAAAATCGTTTCCATAAACAGCGAATGACATTTCTGTAGAACTTCTAATATTTTTTGTACACACAAGTAGCCGACTGGGTAACACTCCCACAGTTTAACTCGCATTCGGTTCCCCAATGAATGAACTAGCTGCACAGAGTTCTCATAATCTTTTTCATATGCAAGAGTTATTAAATTAAACTAATTTTTCTTTAAAAATCCTTATAAAAGCATTCTTCTTAGCGCAGATAGTCTTCCTGCCATGCTTTATTTTAATCAGTTAAGCAACTGATCATTTACTACTTTTTCACATAAATATTCACACATTTACAAGTAAGCGCCCTCTGACCTAAACGACTGTAATTTGTTCTGCTGATTCTGGAAATCAGTACACGAAAAACTATTAACAGATGCTGAAAAAAAAAAAACAATTACTTGTGCATTGTTTGTTACATTAAAATTTTTCCTATCTTGGCAACATTATTACAAATATTACTTCTCCATAGTGAGCAAATCATAAAATGGTGACGGTAAGAGAAAAATTGTATGTTCGCTGACGATGCGTAATATGTTATGGAAAATCGAATATTCTTTAACTGTGCTGAGGCGTTTTAGATCTGACTTTAACGAAGAACTTCTACCTGCGAAATCAACCAAACTATAACTGAAAGCATGTAAAAAACAACAGATCAAGCAGAAAAACGGAATGCGAGTGCAATTTGAGTATTCTAAAAGCAACAAAAAAGGGCTGTTCTGTAATTGGCGTTTTGCTAAAGGGAAAGAATGTTTCTAACAAGATTTTTGAATTAACAGTTTTCAGTAACTGTTATAGTTTAAGTTTCTTAATTAGCCAAAATTAGGTATGTAGCATGCAGTATTAAAGCGTTATAACCAAAAATAAAATATAAGTATAAAAAAATGAGATTAAAATGTGAATTTGACTTCTGTGGTAACACTATGAGAAAACTTTTATTCTGTCGTTTTTATTGGATTAATTTATTTATTTTCAGTTTTTTAACTTATTTATTTTCAGTGCTGAGTAGTTAAGTGTATAAATTAATAATAGTTTAAAATTACTGTTGAGAATAAGCCTAAAAAAATATTTAAAAAACGTTTTCAGATTTTATAATACAGCCAAAGGGGCCTTTTTTTTTTTCATTTATATATGCATACATGTTTCGAGAGCATTTGGGTTAAGGTACCTTTGGGATAAAAATATTTAAAAACAGCATTTGAAATCATTGAGTTTGTTAATCAAAATATCGTTGAGGTTTAAAAAAAAGGAAATAGATAATGAAACAAATTCAAAATTCAAGATTTGGGCTTCCAGGTGCCCATATTCGGGTGGAGGACTACGTTATTGAAACTTTGATGGCTGTAGATACCGTTGTTTTTTTCCCAGTGCGGGAAACATGCATACATTCATGTAAATTCTTCATTGTTTAATTTCTTTAAATATAATACACGGTGATAATATTTAGTGGCAACAATTTGAAAAGAGATTCAACACAAAATCTCGTTTTGAGACTAATAGACCTCCTGGGCTAATGCTCCTTTGGGCTAAAAAGACATTAAAACTATATCGGTACAGTTTTGAATCCCATGTTGCTCTAATGAATTTGCGACGAAATCTTTGATGTTGAAAAGTTTAAACAACTACATTTTTCAAGGGAGTATCAAGAATTTTCCCGCGTTTTTCTTTTTGAAATTAAGGCGGTTGTAACAAATTTAAGCAAAAAATAACATAAAAGTCCTCAATATTTGTTAGTCTACAAATGAATATATGCGGATATATAAAAACTGAATGGCATATGTCTTTTTACAATTTTAAAGTACAGAATATTCTCTCCAGGTCTTATTTTGGCAAATGGCGCACCTTTAGTGAAATCGGACATTTCAGTTACGAACGGTGTCATACATGCTTTAAATAGATTGCTGTTGCCTCCTGAACTCCATCCTCGAAGACGACCTGCAACCCTTGCTCCACCCCGACGAACAACACCAGGTATTTAACTTTTAAAAATTTATTATTTTTTTAAATGGGTTTCCATTTAAAAGTTTAAAACATGGATCATTTATGACTTTTATATTGACTATTTATTTTGATATATTAATTTTTAATTATGTACTTTTAATATATGCGTATATTATTAGCTATCCCAAGGGTGTATTTACATAGACTAGGGACACTAGATTTATATTGACTAAACTTGCCGTATTTATTCTTGAGATGAAAAAGGTGCAGTAAATGTTAATAATACGGAAGTAAATTAAATTATTATCATAACTTATTTTTTAAGCTGTCTTAAGGACTTCCAAACATTCCGAAAAGTCTGTGAAAATAACATCAGCTTACAAGGTATTTCTGCCACTTCCCTAGCATTCCTTCGTGGTGTAACGGTAGCACGCTGGGCCGGTATTCCAGAGGTCCGTGGTTCGATCCCCGGCGAAGGCGGTTGCTAATTTTTCACCTCTCCGACCTCCAACAAAATCTTAATGTCTCTAAAAGTGGCGCCCGAACTGAAAGGGTTGTGGATGATGATTCTCCGCACTCAGGATTTGGGGACTAGGTCCCCTAAAACCCTAGTCGCCCTTTAAGAAGGGGAGTATATAAGGTATTTCTCCCAATTCCCTAGCGTGCCTTCGTGGTGTAACGGTAGCACGCTGGGCCGGTATTCCAGAGGTCCGTGCTTCGATTCTCGGCGAAGGCGGTTGCTAATTTTTCAACTCTCCGTCCTCCAACAAAATCCTAATGTCTCTACAAGCTATAATATATCATGACTGGCTCATTGAGTCTTCCAGTAATTTTTAATATGTCCAAATGAATTTTGTGTCTCTTCACCACTTCACCTTGAAACGTTCTTCATGAAGAAGTCTCTTCCTCGTTAGGTAGGCCTCGAATTTTCACGATTTTTTAGCACTAACTATTATCTGTTCAACCAACTAAATCATATGCATACGTTCCAACATGCTTTTTTTAACTCTTATAGCTAAATATAAAGCCATGGATCTTGAAATATGTCCAAACACTTAAAGCAATATATTCCAAGAAACAAAAATCCGAATATAAAATGGCAGAGCCATTCTATAAGTACAATAAAGAAAATTCTTCTTCCTCATGTCAGTTTCTGAAACTCTGAAGTTTCGAGATAATACTCTTGTTTCGAGATAATACCTGGAAGGTCTAACGTAGGGTACCGTATCTTGCCGTTGTATTCAGTATTTTATGTATTGTTTTCTAGGGTTTTATGTTTATTAACCACTATCTTATAACTCTTGTTTTCACTGTTACTTTCATCGGCTCCCTCTAAGATGCAAATTATTTAACGTATTTAAAGACAGAGTTCTTAAAGTTAAGGAAATGTTTCGGCTGCGACCTCTGACCTCCTGAGAACCACTTTCGTCCAGCTTTACTTGAAGCGGCTGTAGTCTTTGTCAGCTGCATTTGCTCTTGTGATTAGGAGACCTACGCCAAAACTTACAACAGAACTTTGCCTTGTGAATTGCATACTCTTAATTACTTAAATTTCGCATTAATTTTTATGTTCTGTTAAATCAGTCAAGAAGAGTTGACTTATTCTGCAGGAAACAAAAAGTTATAATATAATTTATACTTTTTTCTGAGTTCAAAATCATTTTCACTGGAGGATTAAGATAAGGCGATAAGTCGTTTGGCTGTCTACATGGAGCCAAAAATTAGCATTCAGGTAGTTTCCGTGTTCCTTTCTTGCCTAGAATAAAAGAAATAAAATATTTAAAAAGTTAGAAAATTATGCTAAAATAGCCCCTCCGTCCTTACCCCCCCCCAAAAAAAATTTGTTCGGCAAGTGCTTTATTTAAACTATGATGCTGCTTTCTACAAGTGATTTTTTTGAATTATAACAAAAGTTTAAAGTTGTTTTTTCTCAGTTGTTTTTTCTCAGCCACCAAATATGTTTATAAAGTTTCTTTTAACAGCACCAAGACCGCCGGATGACGATTACTTACCTGTTCCCACTTATATGGAACCTCCTCCTCCCGTTCCACGTTCTCTAACGAAGACTATGTCCACCCCTCTTCAGTTGCCAGATGGACGTCAAGCTACTTTCTCCACTGGAAACTCTCTTTTCAGAAGATCTCTTCTCCTGAATACCCTTAGAAACAATGGTTTGATTCCTTATTCATTAATTTTTTAATGTTTATTTTTATTTTTTTTAATATTTTTATGAATATTTGTACATACATTGATAATTTTAGTGAAATTATATGTAAAATCGTTATATTTTTCTAGTATAACATGGAAATTTAGAGAGACGATGGTTTGCCGGAAAAATAAGAATACAGGGGCAGATCTATTTATCATTGAGTAAATGGCTTGACATTGCAACATTAAGTAAATGGCTAACATTGTAACATTGAGTAAATGGCTAACATTGTAACATTGAGTAAATCTTTCTAATTTTGCGAGATATCGCCAAGCTAGCAACGGTTTTGGCAATTAATTTTGTTGCCAAATTTGGCGTGAAATCTCCAAACGTAGCCGAACTCAGAGACCATTTAGCAACATTTTGGTCCAGTTCCTCTATCACCGTACTAAGTACTGTAATTGAAAAACTGTAATTGATCACTATACTAGCTGTAACCGTATCTTGACCTCATATGCCTTCCAGTAATTTCGAGAAGCAGAAAGTACTACAAATATCTCGGCGGCCGTGTAAAAACTATATAATACCCAACAGAGCATCAGTTCTCACTTGTTGTGAGTTGTTAGTTCAGAGCGACTTAGGTGTATTGAAAGTTTCGTCTTTTAGATGTGTTTTGCATGCGTCTGTTTAACGTTAATATTAGTTTGAAGTATAACTACTGATGGTACTCTGTGATACTGTGAACCCCTGCACGAGTCTTTCTGTGGAATGTTACGGAATTCTGAAGTGCTTCTTTTGATTAAATAAATTTTATCAACCTATCATCGGACCTGTGTGCATTTCAATCTATTGCGAACCCGTACCCAGGCAACGATGTTTATAATGTTTAAATGCTGTTTTCTGTTATCTCGGCTAGTTAGAAGCTTCATTATAGACACATGCATTTACTTCTTTGAGGTACACGTGAAATATTTGAAATTTTATTTACGGCTCTGCAACACATTACCATAAGGTTTTCTTGAATAGGCTCTATACCAGAAACGCAAATTTTCACATTAATTTGTAATTGAAGAGTTCTTAAAATTGTAAAGAAGAAAAGGTGTATAAACATTAAAAAGTCTACATTTCTCACCAAAAGATTTTTAGCCTGTAACTAAAAGATTTTCATCTCTAGAGAAATGATTTTCAGCTCTCTGTTACGTAGCATTTTTTACAATGAAAAAGTTGAAAATTTATAAATTACCTTATCAAGGCTTTCAAATTCGTAAGAACAGTTTCTCTGAAACATCATACTTAATTGTTTTCTATCAACTAAGAACTTAAATTCACTTAGTAACTCGCATAACCACACAGGTATACAACGAACGACCTTCGATAAACACAACTGACTCTGAACTTCTCTTAGACAGCACGCAATATTTACTTACAAGTGGGTAGGCGTGAGTTAAGGGTTAATCTATCTAGTTCTTAAACTCTTACTTACGTGCTCTTAATTTGCATAACTTTCTAAGCGAATGTATGTGATGTGAACCAAAGAAAATGTAGGATAATGTTTAATTTAAGCATAACTCTTTATAACTTAAAAATAATTGTCTTAAGCTCAATTACAGTTCCAAATACAAAGTAGATCTGTGATATCAAGACCAGCAACGACGTTCTGAAAAAGTACTTAGATATAAGGTTATTTTTCCCCTGCATCTTACCAAGAGCAAAATCTGTGGTTGATCTAGTACCATATGATTATTTTACTTTCAATAAATGAATGGCATTCGGTATTCACCTTACATTTTTTAATCAGCTTCAATTAAAAACTAATGTATAAACCTTCTCTTCTATCAGAAACTTTTGGAACAGTGGGGCACTTACCAGTAATCTATCTCACGGCTTTTTGCACATGCATATTGCTATTCGTAACGACTTGAGTGCGAGGTTAAGAATATTTTCCGGATTCTAACTGGAGCTGGACGCTCAACTCGAAATTTAACATGTACCGTGCTTTTAGTTTTACTCTATTATAATAGCAAACTAAACGTTCACTAATAGTACTTTGCAGTCGAATAATAATAAATGAGAATGCTGAAACTATGAACTACTTTAGTAATATATACATACCGGGTGATCAAAAAGTCAGTATAAATTTGAAAACTTAATAAATCACGGAATAATGTAGATAGATAGGTAAAAATTGACACACATACTTAGAATGACATGGGGTTTTATTAGGAAAGCAATAATCTTATCAGAAAAGCAATAATTAGCATAACAAATTAAGACAAAGCAAAGATGATGTTCTTTACAGGAAATGCTCAATATGTTCACCATCATTCCTCAACAATAGCTGGTAGTCGAGGAATAATGTTGTGAACAGCATGTAAAGCATGTCCGGAGTTATGGTGAGGCATTGGCGTCAGATGTTATCTTTCAGCATCCCTAGAGATGTCGGTCGATCACGATACACTTGCGACTTCAGGTAACCCCAAAGCCAATAATCGCATGGACTGAGGTCTGGATACCTGGGAGTCCAAGCATGACGAAAGTGGTGCTGAGCACACGATCATCACCAAACGACGCGCGCAAGAGATCTTCCACGCGTCTAGCAATTGGGGTGGAGCGCCATCCTGAATAAATCGTACGTCAGCAGGTTTTATCAGCCATGCTGGGGACGATGCGATTCTGTAAACATATCGACGTACCTCACCCGCACAGGTAGCAGTTACAAACCAGAATCACGCATTTCGAAGAAAAAAGGCCCGATAACAGTAGAGACGGTTTGCGTTCAGCGCCATCTGTCGGACATTTTTAAAACTTTTTTGGTTCTAATAAAAACCATGTTATTCTAAAACATGTGTGGGCCCACCAGCGGCCGAGCGGTAAAGCGCTGACACTGGTAGTTCGGTTTCGATCCCCGGGAACGGCTGGATGCATGGCGTTTCGTGGTTTACCCTGTGTAATGTATACGAGCCAATTCCCTTAGAAAGGCCTCCACGAAGGCATCCCTCCTCTTAGGCAGTAGCTCGAGGCTTTGCCATAATCACACCCACTCAAGTATTAAGGTCAATTTACCTCTCTTATCTACTTATTCCGTGATTATTAGTTTCAACTTATACGCGACATTTGATCACCGGTATGTTGAAAATTATCTGTGAGAGTATGTTACAAATTATATTAAAAGGAAATAAAATTTTAAAAAACTCAAAATAAAGGTAAGGGATAATAAATTACTAAGAATTGATTACTATTATTTTTAAATCAGTCTGTTTGTCCCAATATGTGCAGTATAGCTTCATAATTTAAAATACGAATTTTAAATCTTCTATCTCAAGTTTGCTTAAAAATTTGCCAGAGATAAAAGGATAAAAATTTTGCGGAGTAGAGTGGTTAGAACAATACTGGTAGTTCTCCTAGACAGATAAATTAAATATCTTCTACTACAACACACATAAAAGTTTTCAGAACTGGTGGTTTAAAAGATCATGTAAATAATTAATGATGTATGATCTATGAACAAAAGTACATACAGGAAAAATTTAAAGATTCGTCTGTAAGCGTTCCTAACTAGAAAAGTAGAAAAGACGAATACCTATTTGTAATAACAAATATTTTATTAAGGACTTTTCTCTGATTTCAATCCTGCCCTAATGACTATATGCAAATCTCAATGAGTTCGAAAAGTATTAAGTAGCAGAGTTCTTGTACACTATCCATAAATTAAGGATAATGCAAAAATCAGGCAAAGGAAGAGTTAGAAGGAAAAACAAATTTGACTTATTGTAAAGTGATTATTAAACAAAAAGCAAAGAGCAAAGATGCTATACGTTGATAATTAAAAAATGAGCGATTTTCTCCCTGGAGCATATTACAACCTATTACAAAAACCAATATATGGTTGGTATGATGTTAATACATGTATGTCTCCCAGAGATGTTACAATACAGTCCGCAACACGGCCGGCGAATTATCGATTGTGGCGGGCACACTCAAAAAGAATGCTCTAAGTTCCGGTAGACAGTAGGAGGAATGACGGGCCGCAATCGTCGGCCAAGCATGTCCCACACGTGCTTACTGGACAAGTCGGTGGGGATGAGAATGTGGCCAGTCCATACGAGTGATATCACGAACGAGTCATCGTTACGATAGCAACGTAAGACGGGTGTCATCATAACACAAATTGGGTGTCATGGCCAATGTGAAGAATGGCATGGGTCATTGAACAGTGTATGGAACCCAGAATATCCACCCAACACTCCTGCACCACCGTACGGTGTCGTTCAATGATGTTTTCTTGGTGGGTACACGGTACCTCGAGGTTCCCATATGAAGTCCGCGAGAAACAGACTCCATCTAAACCTGGACTCGTCGGAAAGCATCAAAACCCACTGTTGCGGTGTCCCAAATGCATGCTCTCTACTAGGCTCCAGGACATAACCCGCCGTCGACAGTGAGTCGTGTGCTACCCGGGCTGACAATAACAGATCCCCCTGACTTGCAGGTCGGCCCGGTTTGGCGTATGCTTAGTCACGTCACCCCCATCTCCGCCCTGGATACACTCTGGGCAATTCCAAGTGTATTTTTGGTACGCCCACTATGCGCACCTGACGACCTGTGTGATAACTATTCGGTGTTGCATGAAATGCTTATAAAGCGCCGCGAACAATTTTACTCTTGCCGTTCCTTATATCACTCTCTTACACTCTCGCATTGTGAGGTACCATCGGTGGTTTTTTGGTTTAACTCCTCAATGAATGAGATGTATGGTAGGATTTACAGGTAATATTTATTTAGAGTTCGATTTCTGCGTGACTCCGAATTATCCTTAATTTATGGACATGAGTGTAGAAGAGTTAGTTAGGAGTAAAGCAGGTTACGCGGAGAATGAGTTATGCCTCCCGCGTGTTTCTATTATTTATTTCTAGTTACGCCGTGAGTAGCTCTGTAGTTGAATATTTGTGCTAACCACTTACTTTAAATTCTGTTGGACTTTTCTGTGTGCTGCTGATAAATCAGATTTAGATTTAAATAGAAGCCAGTCGTGTTAAAGTTAATTCATTCTGATTGTACATACTATTTTGTGTTTCAGTTACTTAACCATAAGTAGTGGTTAAACTGTGAGCAATGAATGAGCTCATGTTCTGTTCAAGTTAGTTAAAATAAAAACTTTGTTAGACCCTTCGTCGGTAGTCATCTGTTTTTCAAGGCAAAGAGAGAATTCGCTATCTCGTCTTCAGTAGGGTCTACATTTTATGCTTCCAAAAACAGTGCAATTCTAGAATATGAACTGAAGAATCACCGCTGGATATTAAAGCAAGCTTTTAGTTTTGAGCTGTTGGTATTAAACATACGTTAGTATTAAAATTACTTATGTTTCATGTACGTTGTGTGCGGTAAACTCAGATGAATGAGAGATTCCAACAGGAGATTGTTTTAGATGTTAAAGACAAATTACCATCTCTGCAAATCAAACGGATAGAAATAAATGACTAGAAAATTTTAACATAAACATACCAGTTAAAGTTAAAAGCAAAACAGAATTGTGTTTCGGAGTCAACAGGTTAATCGGCAGAAATCGCAAATTGATTGTGCTGGGGTTTCTACAGCTATAAAATTTCTATACTTATATGCGTTTTGGACGAGATGATATGAATTGCATACATTGTGTCGTAAATCATGCTTGAGTTACGTTCTTAATTACCCATAGCTTGCATTTTTAAAATTCAATTTCGATATGTCCTTCGAGAAAGTTTTTTCCGGATATGTAGGTTTTACATTATTAATGTTACTTAAAAGCTGTATTTACTTATTCTATGTTCGTAAAATTTGGAATAGAATATGTATGATTTATTCACTTCATTTTTTCCATTAATGAAGTATCAAAATTTATAAGAAAGTAAGAAAAATGTAACTTACATTTATGGATAATAAAAAATAATGCTAAATCTGTAGTCAAGGATCAAACAGAAAATGACAACTAAACAATACATTATACTTTCTGTTCCATATTTCAGCGTAACTAATTTGTCCAATAAAGATGAAGCAGAATTTAACACTTTCACCCTGATCTATGGAAAATTTATTCAATCTAATTCAAAACTGCAAAATTGCCCGTAACAAAGACTTATTTTATTATGCATATGTAATGATAGTATCAATGACGTATAGTCATTGCAAATGTCAAAAACGCTGGAATTATGAAATCATCTCAAGCTGAAACTCTAAGGTTTTAAGTCTCAAGAACACAGAAGTCACCTAACTTGAAAGTCCATCGCTTGCAACGCGTCGTTACTGCAAAGTGTTCGTTAAAATGTTTAAATCGTTTAAAGCAGCCTATCGTAAAACAAAAATTCTATTAAATTCACAGAGTTTTTTTTTTTTAATTTAGGTTCTGATATGGTTTATACAATACTTATGCCAACGGATGCTGCATTTGGAGAGATAGGACAGGAGAAGTTGGATAAGATACGTCGCAATTCAAGGCTCCTGCGCAGAATGCTGTTGTGCCAGATGGTACAAGGACGTCTCAATCTGACGGAAGATACGAAAGATAGACCGATCAGGTCTCTCGGAGGAACGATTATCATCAGTTCTCTTGACGATGGAAAGGTAAGCATGATATTCAACTGTATTCCTTTAACATGGTATTAATGTTCTTTTTTCTGATTAACGCACATACGACTGTGGTCATACCTTGCAATCTCCTTTGTGCTTTCTTTTGCAATCATGCATTTTGCAAACACGAAGCTTTCCAACTGTTCTTAACGCTAATCACAATTTGGATGAGATTTTCATTATTTCCAAAACCCCATTACTCGTTTTGATTATCTTGATAATTAGAAGAGAAATAAGTAATCTTTCTTGCAAGAGTAACTTTAAATCTCAGAAATCTGTACTATTCTGATGGTTATGCAATAAATTACGTATCTCAGAATAAGACGGTAAATAATAATTGGGTTTTACATATGTTTTATTTAGAGTACGTCCATTCGGCATCATGACCCCTGTGAGTCTCTCCAGCCGTTTTTTAATCTCAAAAGGATATCACATTCCGCTTCATAGGTTTCATAGCATAAGAAAGCACAGTGATATCTTTTATAAGGAACATAGTCGGTTCGGTGATGGCATTAATTATGAGAATCTTGGGTTATTTTGGGAATTATTCCGTTTCCTGACTTATACCGAAAATTTCGAAAATGTCATTAAACAATTTCAGAGAATGTCAAGAACGCTACCAATATTGGAAAAGCTAAGAAATTTACTAATTTATTACATACAGTGGATGGTCAAAAATATGGAAACACCTTGTGAAATGCATGTTTGAAAAGAAAGATTGATTTTAATGAAATATGTAAGTGGCGCTGGCGTTTTTGACTACTGACGCCACCTATACAACTTCGTAAATGTGCTAAACAGTTCATTGTTGCGGAGTACTGTTGTGTGAGATTGTCATTGATTATGTCAGAGTTAACAGACTTCGAACGTGGGCAAATTGCGGAGCAGTATGGTAGGTGCTTCGTAAGCAAGGTAGCCGAGGTGTTTGTGTTTCAAGAGTTTACTGTATCGAAGATTTATTCCGATATTTGAAAACCGGAAAACTCATCGCTAAATCACAGCGGGCGAAAGTGTGTCCTGAGTGATCGTGACAGAGATCATTAGGGCAATTGTGACGAAAATAAGAAGACCACAGCTGCAAAAGTTACTGCTGAAATAATGTTTGTTACCGAACCCTGTGAATACCAAAAAAATTAGAAGGGAGCTTCATAACAGGGAATTGTGGCCGTGCTGCAATGAGAAGCCACTCATCAGTGAGCTAATGCCCGTAACAGGAAAAGGTGGGTTAAGTCATAAAGCCTGGACTATAGAGCGAGGAAGCGACTAATAGGTCGGACGAGTCTTCTTTCACATTGTTCGCACTTTGGCCGAGTTTACGTTTGGAGAACGCCTCTCAAGCCTATAATACAGACTGCTTGTGCCAAAATGAAACATGGCGGGGTTCTGTTATGGTTTGGGCAAGCTCATCGTGGTCTCTGCTAGCCCCATGAAAACTGTGTCAGGCACTGACTGCCAAGACTTATGTGAACATTTTGGCCGATCAAGTTCATCCCATGGTACAACTTTGTTCCCCGATGGTGTGGTGTATCCAAGACGACAAAGCTCCTGTTCACACAGCTCCATTGTCCAGGACTGGTTTTTGAGCACGAGGATGAGTTGTCCCATCTCCCCAGGCAACACAGTCAACCAGACCTGAATATTATCGAACCTTTGTGGTCTACATGGAACGAAAGGCGTTCTCGTTATCCCCGCCAACATCGTTATCTGAACTTGCCATAGTTTTGCAGGAAGAATGGTATAATTTCCCTTGGCAAAATATAGGAACTGTATTTATCCATTCCGAGAAGACGCAAGCGTTTGGATGACACGGGTTCCTACACCATATTAAGCAAAGAAACATTTTTTTTAAGGTGTTTCCATATTTTTGTCCAACTCCTGTATAAAATATTTATTTGCACTGTGTATGTACACAGTTTTACAGAATCTTTAGTTCAGATTCGTCTGAATAGTCCTATTATTCCAGTTGAAGTGGAAGAATCAGCTTTCCTTGAACTTCTTGCACATTTATTACATTTGACATTTTTGAAAGAGCCAGATTTTAAAAATATTGTCGAAAGTGGTTTGTCTTTTTCCAAACTGGTTCTGAAGAAGTTATGGGATTGTCATTTGAACAGATCAGCAAATCCCGTTTATCTCATCTTATTGGGACGCTCCTGTTGGACTGTGACATAGACATTTTCTCACTTCTAATTAAATGAAATTTTAGCTTTCGTGAATATAATTTCCATGTGATACATTGGGTAATTAAAGAGCAATAGACAGTCTGTGTTCTCCTCCACTTCATCAAAAATCTTTCTTCTGGGTTACTTCATTTCCCAGTTAGAAAGAACTTGTTTCTTCTGTAGTAATATAATATTAAGAAATTTCAGTCATTGTCTTTGTTTATGTGCAAACACTTTTTTAGTTAACTCCACATTAAAACAAAAAGTAAAACGAATTTTTCTCTGTTTAATGTGTGATGAAATTCACGTGCGGTGGGGTACAATTTTCGATTCGTGCGCGAGTTTGTTATGCAGTACATTTGCCATGCGAGTTTGTTTTATGCGAATCACCACTACAATTTCATTATAGATTGTCGTTCAAAATGAACCAACTATCTCATGTTCAGTACTTAAGTTAGGCACAATGAATTCCTTATAATAAGTATTTCCTAATATTAGAAAAAATATTGTCAGTGTGACCTTAGTGTGACCTTCAGAACAAACATATGAAAATGATTTCCTTTACTATATTCCAATCACTGTTTTAAGCTTTTAAAGATGAACCTTCTTGCCTTGAAGATGACTCTTTCATAAGAATCATCTTCAATGCAAAACGGTTTACGAGAAAAAGAGTGAAAGATGAACCGGCTGACTCTTTCAGTAAAGTGATTCAATACTTTGGCGTTTACTTGTCCATGTTTGTAATCACAGTAGAAATACCAAGTATTCCTTGTCATAAATATTTACAAATGTTTTATTTCTATGAAAAATTTTACCAATTTATTTTTCATACCAAATATACTGAAGTTTTCGATCTATTGATAAGATATGCGAGCAAATCTAAAAGTGACATTTTCTTATCCATGCCTTCTACTGTGATTTTTCGAACTGTGGCTCTGTTGATCTTATTTTATTCACTGTCTTACTTTGAAAAAACGTTCTTTGGTGAGAACAGAAACTGTACGTCTGTCTTCATCTTCCGTTTCTTTACTATATTTGAACCATGCAAACCACCTTAAATGCAATATCTTCCAGGAAAGCATCTTCCAAATGGCATTGTAAGCCTAAATGGTGGAAGGTAATATAATCTCTTGAGAAGTTGGTAAGAAGAGTGATTGTGCTAAGGATTGTACTAAAGTGCACTGGGTAGAACGTAGCAAAGACATATGGAGTATCGGGCACGTCATATAGCAGACAGAAGTACTTAAAAAGCAATATTCTTCTATGTTCACAAATCTGAATTACAGTCATTACCTGGTGAAGCTGCGAGAAGTACATTTGTATACTTTTTTCCCCTAATTAGAAATGTTTTGGCTATTTTTGCAGTTGCCATGAGTTTATTAATAATACCTTTAGCCCGTGAAAATCGGTTAGAGTTAGCTAGTCATTTTAAGATGGGAACTATGTGTTCGATCATTCAAATATATAGATTCTTTCATAGCCTAAGCATTGATCTGTGATTCTTCGCTAAATTGCTTGAGATATTTAAGAAATGACCTATGCACCGTGCACCACTATGTCAGAGATGGACTTCTTTCTCTAATCATCCTTCGATAACATCTAAATATTTGGGTGTTTTACGGCTGCCTTATTGACTGTACGATCTCAAATGCAGTTTCAGAGAAATTGAAACGTAATATTTGCTTTCTGTTTTTGTAATTTCCTTGATGTTACTCTTTCCCTACTTGCACAAAATGGCATTGTCTTTCCTAGCATACGCAAGAATCCCTCTTTATTGCCAAATTATAGATTAATTATATCACAATGATTTGTGCCAGACGATTACAATATGGCATTTGTGCCTTCTTTACGTGTGAGGTTTGCCTCACTGCATAGTTGTCGAACTTGACATGTATTAATAAGAGAAATTCCTCAAATCATTGTGTTTTGTAAATTAAAAATTAAAAAAAGCAGTCTAAATAAAAGATTTACAATATTTGTAATCATGGTGGAACATTATGATCAAACATGAACATGTTATGATCAAAATTTAATGCTTTAAATTTATTCTTAATAGTCACTGATGGCTGGTGGAGCTCGCGTTCTTTCAGTTCGAGAAGCCGCTGATGGTCTAGTGTTAGTTACAGATCGAGTAATCATACCATCACCTAATCGAAATGTCGTTGAAGGCCTTAAACCTTTCCCGACTCTGAAGAGGATTTTGGAACAACAACCGGATATACCGCAGAGGCTTAGCTCAGGTGAGTTCACCATTTAAGTTAGTATAAAACATATTACATAAATTCAACTTGCTTGCTTTTCTCCAGCTCGTTGCGTCGATGAATAAAATATTCTTTTTGCTTTGTTTCTAACCGCATTTCTTGTAAACTTAGGCATTAAATCATTGTTATAATTTCCATACCTTTATAACAGCATTTTAACTTTTAAATTATTAACTTCTAAAAACCTATGGCATTCTTCCCATACATGCCTTGTGGTGTAGCGGTTATCGCAGACAGCCATCAACCAAGACACCCACGGTTTTAATTTCTAGCGAAAGTGCATTTGTTTTTTTCCGAAAAAAGAAACATGATGAAACACTACAAATTCCTGTTGTTCCTTAGAAAAATTTGCTTAATATTTAATCTGATGAAACTTCCATAATTCTGCAATGTATGTACTCTTATTTTCAAATAATGCAGGATAATTCTTTATGAACACAGGATTCTTTTACTCTTCAACACAGAATTCTTTTATTCTTCAACACAGAAATCCTTTATGTACTCTTATTTTCAAACACTTCAGTATAATTCTTTATCAACACAGAATTCTTTTATTATTCAACACAGAATTATTTTATTCTTCAACACAGAATTCTTTTATTCTTCAACACAGAATTCTTTTATTCTTCAACACAGAATTCTTTTATTCTTCAACACAGAATTCTTTTATTCTTCAACACAGAAATCCTTTATGTACTCTTATTTTCAAACACTTCAGTATAATTCTTTATCAACACAGGATTCTTTTATTCTTCAACACAGAATTCTTTTATTCTTCAACACAGAATTCTTTTATTCTTCAACACAGAATTCTTTTATTCTTCAACACAGAATTCTTTTATTCTTCAACACAGAAATCCTTTATGTACTCTTATTTTCAAACACTTCAGTATAATTCTTTATCAACACAGGATTCTTTTATTCTTCAACACAGAATTTTATTCTTCAACACAGAAATCTTTTATTCTTTAACAAGAATAATAGAGGAAACAAATGCAAATGGAATAGGTTTAAAATACATAATTTTCCTACCGATAATATCATGCCAATGTTTTTCATGTAATTTTCCGCTTGCATTCATAGGATCGACCGCCACAGAATAGACATTAGCAGAAGTTCAGTACCAGCGCACAGTCGACACTAATTACCAGCATACGACTGACAAAGTAAAAGAGATGTTTTTGTAATAATCTAATAATGACTAACATGAGTGTTGCGTATTTTATCTGTATAGAATTGTCAAAGGCATAGTATCTACACTGCGCACGGTCGATTCCAGTACAGCACCGACATGACATACGATCGACTTTGTGTAATATCGATCTGATAGACATGGTGTAAAATTAGCATGGCATAGAATCTGCACTCGTGTGTTGGCATACGTACCCGAGGACTGCAATTAACAACTACAAAGAGAGTAATGATGCAAAGTTTGATTATGTTATTATTCTTAGGGTACCTGCACAGAATCGTCATGTGATATTCTCTACAGCAAAGAATCAAAATTGCATTGGCTTGAAGCCAGCTTCTGAGCTGCCTTATCGATCCCATGTCAGTGGAGACGCTGTTGATCCTATGCAGTGTCGACCCTGTGCCGACACAGATGTTATTGATTCTATACAGCATTGATCCTGCTGTGTTGGCAGAGAAGGTGTAGATTCGATGCCAGCAGAAAAGACTGTCATTTCTGTACAGGGTCGATCCTGCGCTGGCATAGTTGCTGCCGATTTTATGCATTTCCAACTCTGTGCTGACAGAAATTCTTTCCATTCCCTGCAGTGTCTATCCTATGCCAGCAGAGAGGCTGTAGATTATACGCAGTGTCGATCCTGTACAGATTGAGAGGCTGTTGATTCTATGTAGTGTCGAACCTGCATAGAATCTGTGTAATCAAATCAGATTTATTTACAGGTAGAAAGTATGAGAGCTTTGTTTAAAAAGTACTGATGTTTACAGATTCTCAACTTTTTTTCTCCTTCATCTGACACAATTTACACCCCTTAATGGAATTAGCTCTAAACACGTGTCAGAAATCAGAAGTAGAGAAAATGTTATCTGTAGCCTGGTATAGCGCCGGTATGTTTATTCATGATAAGTTTTAATTAAAGGTTTGCTTTACATACATGCTTTTCATTGAATTTCTACTTTCCTAACCTACAATCTTACCTGTAAGTTAGTTTTATTTACAAGCCACCTAACGATACCCTAATTTGAGCATCTTTCCCTATGTTCGAATAGTGCTTCTTCTCATGCTCAGTTCGAGAAGACTGCTGGTGTGACACGTAGAATTCTATTAAAATAATCACATAGAATTCTTTCCTTCTCAGCATAAAATTTCATGTCATTGCTAAAATTCAGTGTAAATCTTATAACAATTTTACATTTTTTCGTAGTTAGATGGTTCACATTTCTGTATACTTCTAATTTTAACTCGCATTGTTTATTTAGTTTTTAACCAAAATCTTAGCTCTCATATACATCTTATTGCCTTTAATTCTGAAACGTGTGTTTAACATTTAAATTTTTTATCTTAATAATAAGACAGTTTGTACTTGACATTTTTTTTTCTTTACCAATTACAGACGAAACAATAAATCTGTTTTAAATAAATATGATTTTCGTTTCTTTATAATAAATAAAAAGTTAACTTGTTTGATTTCTAAATAGTAAAAAATTTGAATTCAATCTTTTTAATCAACAAAAATGTAAACTTTATATTTTTATCCCTGTTTCTTCATTTTTTTTAACTTCAAAACAATCAGCAAAAATGTAAACTTTATATTTTTATCCCTGTTTCTTCATTTTTTTTTAACTTCAAAACAATTGTTTTCAATAGATGCCTAAAATTGTCTTAAAAAGTGCGAAAGAACTCATCTTTCATCATAGTGTTTTAAAATTCTTTACAGAAAATGCTGCGTTTACCGTATTTGCTCCAAGCGATGCCGCTCTAGCTTCTATACCTCCAGAACAGCTTCGAGACCCTAATTTTGTTTCTGGTAAGTTCAAGTCAAGTTCGTTATGTCTAGAAGTATAATTTTGTTTTTTATTATGAGTATTGGAATAAAATTAACTTTCTTTTGATATTTTCGTAGAATAATTCAAACCGCTACACGGAATCGTAGTGCAATATTCCTACTAAATATAAATTTTAATTAACACTAAGGCCAAACTAGTATAATAAACTTACCTATTTTATAATAACCTCTGCTTAAAAAGTATCTTTGATAAAAGTCACGACCTGCTAAAATGTATAAATTATAAGTTGCAGTTTTTCTGGTATTTTTAGAAGCAATTTGATTTTTTCCATAGAACTCTTCTGGTCCCATGTTGTTCGTGGTACATACTACAGAAGAAGGCTGAGTCCTGGACTGCATCTAACAACACTCAGGGGAAAGACCATCATTGTTACCCGCCCACAATCTGGTCAGTTGTTATTTCATGCTATTTTAATATCTCCAGTCTTTTATACTAAGACACTGCAGCATTATTTTGGGGCTGTACTGTCCAATCAGTACTATTGAAATAATATAATGAAATATGTGATCTTGGTTGTTTAAAACTCAGGTGCGAAGCACATGTAGAACAGGCGCCCATGCTAAAAGCCACATCCTGTGTGTAACTCATGGAGAAACGACATAACTTTCCTACCATAACATTAGTGAATGATGGCTGAGAATTCTTTAAAAAAGAAAAAAAAAGTAGGATTCTCGATGTTTCGATGAGATCCTTGCGTATAACACCTTCGGAGGTACTCTGACTAGCAGACAGCAAAACTGAGCTGGTTAAAGAAGGTAGAATGGGGAAAATTGAAAAAAATAAGGTCTGAAAATAGCTGCGTGAGTTTCCTGTGTTCCTTTTGGTCCGTCGTAGAGGGAGTGCTAAACCTATTCTAATCTTCAGACTCAGCGAAATTAATAAATAACATAGCTGCTTGAAAGTCTGCTTGTAATTTTTCTGCTGGATTCTTTGCTGCTCTGATTTTACCAATACATGAGGTGATCGAAGTTAGGAAAGCGTTGATTTTTTCATCTTGAATACATTTTAATAGCATCGTTTAGGTCTTTCGGTGGCGGGGTAATTTTTCCATTCAATTTCTCGCTGTAAGTACGAGTAGTTTGAGGGGGATTTTTCTGCGCTGGGATCAAGAAAATCTTTGAGCTAAGGAAGTTTTCCTCAGAGAGTTCGTGAACTTTAGGCTGGGGTGCGCTGCTTTTCTTTTCAAATCTTTTCTTATACTCGCTGCAACTTCTATAGCTGTTCGTAGAAAATACATTTTGGCTTATCTTCGGGTTTCATGGTGCATTGATTGTTTCATGGTGCATTGATTGTTTCATGGTGCATTGATTGTTTCATGGTGCATTGATCTTCGGGTTTCATGGTGCATTGATTGTTTCGATGTTGTTGCCCGCGCTTCACGCATCTGATGGGATTACTGCAACAGAATTGAGAGTGACCGAATTGCTGGCAGCGGGTTGGTGAAAAGAAGAGAAGAAAGGCTTTGCGTCTGCAGCAGCTAGAGTCATCACGCGTCTGGTGCTATCTATAGCACTAGACTTAATATTGTATCACGAAGTAACTTGTATTATATCATATCTTAACTTGCAAACTGATAAATATAAATCGATTTCATGTGCATTCTTTTAGAATACCACACACATTGTTCATTGTAAGGATGTTATCAAAAAGTTAGATGTGGTGTTTTAGCTCATTGGAAAATTATTATGTAACTGAGAAATGTCTTAACGTTTGGGCAAGACATTTTGGACTAAAATATAAGAAATAAAATAAAAAGGACAGTAATTTAAATGTTAAAAAGACTAGTCTTGTTCAAGAGTAAAAATTGTTTTACTTAATCCTAGTAGCCTATAAGCATATATATTGTAACTACTGGAAAGTAGATTATTCAGAAAAGAAGAAAAGAAACGTTTATGGGTATGAGGAGCTTGCATGAGGAGCTTTGGAACACTAATTTGAAATCAAAGATCAAGAAAATAATTGCATATAGTCTTCGTGTATTCTTTGGGAGCATACACTCTTAACCCCTATGTCGAAGACTAAAGCGAATTCTCGCAATGTCTTTAAGACTAAATACTGAAGATGAAAGGTTTAAAATAACCTTTTTATTTAAATCTAAATTAAAACAGGTGCATGCACTTCGTGCTCACAAATCACCACCACTTGTGGCAACGTAACAGAAAATAAGAATGTAACAATTCAATAGTAAATTAAAATAATCTATTAATAGTTAAATCTATTAACAGCACACAGAAAAGCCGAGCCGAGAAATATTAGTATAAACTGAAAAGTGTCGAACACCGAACTAAAGAGCTAATTTTAAACTCTCAGCATAAACACTGGAACTAAGTCCACTACTACTTTTTTGAACTCTTGAAACGCAGCTTAAATACTGCTTCTGAAACACGTTTAAAATTGACATCTACGTCATACAAAATTTACATTCCGGCAGAAAACTGAAATTAGGAGGAACAGGAAAGTCAAACTAAAAATAACTGGTTTGAATAAAGTAAAACCTTACAATTTAATATATTTAAAATACAATTTATTATATTTAAGCATCGCACATATAGAACGTTCAAAAACTGGGAAAATTCCAAAATGGCAAATTATTTCAGTGGATGGCACCGCTATACTGTTACAAGAAATACACCTGAAATTTTAGTTCAAGTTTATGCTTGTTGCTTTAAAAACCGTTTGTTTAATGAAGTTGGAGAGGAATGTTTCTCAGTCAGAAAGAAATTTCATGACTAAAATACTTTGCTGACTTTGCAAGTTTGCAACTTTGCTGAGTTTGACTGACTGATTTGTATATAAGTATTCGAAAAAATACGAAACATGTTAATTATGGATAAATGGAATATGTTCATTGTAAACTTTACTGAAATTTATTATTTTGCACATGTGAGAAATTTTAGATTTAAAATTATTAATCCTAACTAACAGCAACGTAATTCTAAGGCAAAATATTCACATGGGTCATAAGGGTTGCCAACTCTACAAGTTGCAATAAAGGACACTACAAAATATTTCCTTTTCATTATTACTGGAAATTATTGGAACACAATATTGGAATTAATGATAATGTGAAAAAATAAATTAACCCAAAAAAAAAAGAAGGAAGATGGAAAGAAAAAAAATAAAAATATAAAAGATTCCACAAAAGTTTTACTTTAGTAATTTAGATGATAATTTATCGATTAATTAAACACAAAAAATGCATTATTAGAATAATCATCAGAATTCAATTAAAAATATGGAAAAACTTTAAAAATATTGGAAACATTTAAAACTAAGGTAAATTTTTAATTTTTAAAATTATATTTTTTCTGATTATTAGCAGACTTGAAAAAAATGTGCATTACTTTTTATTTTTCGACACATTTTCAACAACTTTCTTCCAAATTAAAATATGTAAATAATTCGATTCTTGATTCTCATGAGTTCAACCGAAAGCCTCTTTTGTTCATTTCTCCACTTAGTTGACATGACACTAAAGATTCTCTCACAATATGTTGATATTGCAGGAACTGAAAACAAATATGAAAATTTTTTTAATATAAATACATTTATAATTTGCACGCGTTCATTTGCTTTTACCCCATAGCCGGCAGACCCTTTTTTTATATTTAAACTGAATTTCAAAATATCAAGATGAATTTTATAGTAACGTGTATTATGTTTTTGTAACAGTAAAAATTAGGACCCTTTTCTATTTATCAGTTATTAATAAGCTTAAAAAGAAAATGAGCTGTAATTTCTGTGAAACCTGCAATGTGTTAACATTTATTTTTCCATCTCTGATAAACACTTTTCTTTTCGTAACAGGGAGTATATTCGTAAACGGTAGACCATTAGGAGGTAAGGAAATTTTGGCTGGAAATGGAGTCATACATCCCGTGGACAACTTGCTGTTTGATTTCCCTCCACCTTCTCCACGTAAGTATCATTCTAAACTTCGCCTCCACTTAAAATAAGTCATGGAATATTTTAAACAAATTGTTTAGTAAGCATTCCAGCTTGTGAGGCATTACTTGAAATACTTCCTGGCCTCTTGACCTAATCAGTCATATGCGTTTGCACGCCTTTTCTTAATACTCGCATAACTAATTAAGATATACAAGCAATGCAATGTGTATATTATGGATTGTAATTATAAAGTTAAAACACTGTTTTCTAAATTAGTGTTAAAATATGTCCGATACTTCATACAGAGTTACTTTTTCACTGTAAGCGACTTTGACAATAACTCGCCTACAGTGAACAAAAGGATAGTCAAATTTACACAAATACAGCTTTAAAATTCAATAAAATTGTATTTGTTCTCTGCTGGTCGATTACAACTAAAGCAAAAATATATAACAAAAAGATCGACTACTTCTTGGTTAGGTTAGGTTATTTAAATATGACAAACCCATGAGGGCTATCTGGCTCGTGGGTTAAGATGAGGGATGTCTGCTGAGAAAAACCATGAAAATCGACCACAATCACAAAAGACTATACAACCATCCAACGCCTTCATTTGCATTTATATTGTTATTTTTAAATATAAATAAATAAATAAATGCATTGTAATAAACTTCGAAGACATAAATTTATGTCTAATCAAGAAAATAAATCAGAGTTCGTTGAATTTTAATAAAACATAGCAAAAACCGATAGTTTGCATGTTATTAAAATCTAAACAGAGAGAGGAATACTTCATTTACTTTGATCAAATGAATTAAAAAATAAAACTAATACATTGTGGGTCCACTTTTTTCATCTATGACTGCCCGATAGAACCAGATTTGTTGTCATATCTGGTGTAACTTCAGGCTATGCTGCCTTCAGAGTATCTTTGCTTGCAATAGCATATTGGTGGATTCGCCAGTCAAGTCCATCCCATATATGTTCTAAGGTGTTTAAGTCTGGCGATTGGGGTGGAGAATGCAGTTGATTAGGTACTCTGTAGTGAAGTCATTCCGTAATAATCTTAGCAGTATGGTTTGGGTCACTGTCTTATTGAAAGACCCAGCTACATTCTAGTCCCAGTTTCTTAACAGATTATTGTAAATTTCTTTGCAATATTTTCAGATAAACGAATCGATCCATAGAGCAATTTACCTATTCCAGCCGCTGTCATTGAGCCCCAAACCATTGAACTCCCTCGCCACCTTGTTTAACAGTTAGTATCAAATTTTTCGGTTTCATCTTTTCATTTTTCCGCCGCCAAATCTTTCCACGACCATTGTTTCCGAAAACATTGAACTTACTGTAATCAGTAAATTGAAAAGTATCCCAAAAATAAAAATCTTTGTTTAGGTATTCATATGCAAAATTTCGTTTTTGTCGATTTTGAGATGGCAAAAACTCTGTCATCTGGGAACTGTACCATTAAATCCGGCTAATCAAAAAATTTTACGTACAGTTTACGTATTGACATTTTTCCAGTTACCATCGCAAAATGTTCAACTAATTTTGGAGCACTAACTTTGGGATCTTTTTTTTTTTTTTTTTTTTTTTTTTTTTTTTTTTTTTTTTTAATATTTCTTGCATCATGATGGCTAACTTTCCTTGGACGATTACTTGAGCACATTTCCCCTTGACTTGTAATTTTTAATTACAATCTGTACCACTGCACTACTTCTCTTAATCATTTTAGCTACTTCACCAAAAGATTTCTTTTCATGCCTTAATTTTACAATAAGATTTCTCACAGCTAAAATTTCTTGCTTTGGATTCATTTTTTCAAACTACGATCCTCCTTTGGAAAAGGGAATCAAGATTGCGAATTTCGCGCTTGGTTGAGGTGTTTTTATAAATCTAAAAGGGAAGCAAACAGCCGCATATCCAAATTTAGTTAATAGCCAATGAACTGTGCGCTGACTTTTGTGACTTAAATCTGCATATATCTTTCGCATTTACTTTATTTAAGCTTAAATATTACTTTTATATGAGCAACATGACAGTTAATATTATTTAACAGCTTAAATTCAAATAGTGTTGGTAAGCCTTTATTTCAATGAGTGTATATAGACTTCCCTGACTGAGTGTAGACAATCCATTCGCCTAACATCGAACCCAAACCGGATGAAATACCAGTATTCAGCAGCCTTAACAATTCGGCCCCTTAATTTTCGCTAATAGTGTTTTAACTATCTGAGTTGGAATACTGCGATTGCCAAAATTCATATCTTTCAAAGAAGATCCTTAGCTGTTCTCTCAGCTTGTTGCTATAAAGTCTTTTAACAACCTCGAGTACCAAACAAGAAATCTGCGATCTGTGGCAAATTCTCATGGTCAGCAGCAAATTCTCATTCTTCTGAACAGACGACTGGCGATAATTTTCATGGTTAGCAGATGACATTTACTCCGTCACGCAATGAGCTGCAATTAACAAAATTTTAAACTATCTTTCCCTTCTCTGTAATTGTTGTTGTGACTTATTTCATTCGACTGACAGTGCCATCAGGACAAGCCCATGAAATTCACCGTGGCAAGAAGTACAAGATTGCGCTTGTGGTTGGCATGAGCCTTGAGCACCATACAGGTGACAGTACGACTTTGCTCAGTGCTGTCCCCAATTTCGATGAAGAGCACAATGGAGGGACGAGTTCGAGGGTCTCCCACCCCTCTTACCCTTCTAACAACATCTCCACAGGACTTTCCGCTCGCCGCATGTTTAGAGTCTCTCATACCACACGGACACAGTCCTGCTCTTAATTCACGTAACCTTCTAGTTCGAATGACTTTATGAGAAGTAACCCCATTTTGTTTAGGAGAGTGTTCAAATTGAGCTTAACTCTCAAGAAAACTTAGAAATAATAGTCCCAAGCTGAATATTAAAACTCAAATGACGACAATTCTGCTTCGCCTGACAGATGTAAATACAATATTTTTAACTTCTAATGTGAAATTCTTTGTGTTTTGCTTTATTTTGTATTGAGAAACAATTTAATTTTTAGTAGCCCAAAATATTACAAGACAATTTATGAAACGCTTCTGTATTTAATATAAACAGATCAATAGACCTCTACAGTACCATTCACGTTTGATAAAACAAACTTTTAAACCAGAATTAATCATTTCACCTTTTTACCTCCAATAAAATACAGTTTTCAACGTCTGCTTTTTATTCCTTTATTGATTTCTTCTTTTTAGCAACAGTTACAGCTACACAGCCTGGCTCTATGGACAGAAATTTAAATGCTATGGCACAAGAATTCAATGCTACTGATTTTCTGAACTGGATGTTGAAAGCCGGAATGCAAGATATTTTGCAGAAACAAGGTTTGTGAAAAGAGAATAATTTTTCTCCTATTCTCAATAAAATTACTCACAAAAATGATGTTTGAAGCTTTCGCTTTTCCCTTTCTGTATTTTTAGTTTCGAAAACTGGAAGTTGCACCCTGTTTCTGCCTACAAATAGAGCTTTAAAAAATATGTCGCCAACTTTGCGCTCCGCAACCTTGGGAGATGCCGAACGACTGAGGAAATTCATCCGTTTCCATATAAGTCCTCGACCCCTGAGGTGGGAATCAGTACACGATAATTCTCTCCTTCCCTCCTTACTGCCAGGGAAGAACATTCGCTGTAATATTTACGCCTCTAGTAGATCGGTAATTTACATTCATATTTTCTATTTTTTGGAGGTTAGAATGTTTGAAACTTTTATTGTAAGCAATAAAGTGAAATTAGGGGAGCTAAATTTATTTTTCGTACAACGGTTTTAACAGGGTAATGAACAATATTTTAAAACCTTCCAACTAATTATGTTGAGGTAAAGTGAAACTTGTTATTATAGATTCCTTAATACTGTGGGTATAATATAAAACAGGCAATATGTAGCTAATTTATTTAACTTGAATCATCATGCAAATACTTAAACATAAAAACTTACTAATTAAATATTTTTTTTTTAGCCCAAAAGGAGCAATTTTCCCAGAAGGGCTATTAATTTCGTTTTGGCATTTTGTGTCGTTCACTATAAAACGGCGTTTCACTTTTCAAATTGTTACCACCAAATATTGGAGCCCTGTATTCTATTTAAAGAAATTAAATAATGAAAAATCTGCATAAATGTATGAATGTTTCTACCTAGAGCCATCAAATTTTTAATAAGCACATCTGGAAGCCCAAATTGGAATTCTGGAATTTGTTTTTATTATCTTTTCATATTTTATAAAACTTTAACGAATTTTTGATTAACAAACTCAATAAAACGAGCAATGGCAACACTGTAAGGGGAGAACAGTTTTGTCTCCAGCGCGTGAGAGTGTGTATCGGAAATTCTAAAGATATGCTCTTTTTAACTATTTTGTGATATTACTGTTGAATCGAATTTTATGTTTTAAATTCGAAGAACATGATATTTAATAAATAAAGTAACACACAAAACGTTAAAAAAACGTAATATAAAATCTGAAAGCTTTCATTTTGTTTTTTCCTTTAAACCGTTTAAGATGTCTCATACAGGGTACAAAATTCATAAAAATATCAGCCTTTAACAGCACTGAAATTTTTGCTCTCTTGATGACATTTTCCATTATTTTTTTTAAATTTTAGAATGTTTAAAGCAGATTCCATAAATCTGTTCCGCTCAGACGGAAAAGTGGTTAGTGACTCCGGCTATCGTACCAAAGGGCCCAGGTACGAAATCAGGAAAAGGCATAGATATAAATTGTCTGTCCCTTCATAGGAGAGAACAGTGGCTCATATATTAAGTGCCTCTATAATAAAGTGACCACCTTTTCTAGCCTTAATAGTGGTCAATGCCTATAACAGCTGGTGCCTGCCACTGAAAAATAATTTTTGACTGTATTATCGATATATACATTTTATAATTTAACAAAAAAAATCTCTGGGGCAGTTACATATTTCCAAAGTTTTAATTAAACATCCGATTACAACTAATCTTTTGAAGGAAAGGATAAGTATTGAAATGAATGTTCTATAACAGAACTTCAGACAGTTTAAAAATAATACTTGAAGGTCTACTGCAAACATAGCTCTTGATATATTCTAAAAAGTAAAGAAAAAGTATTATCGAAAGAAATGATTTTTTGCATGGCTAGAAATGATTTTTTGCATGGCTAGAAACGACTTTTTGTCACATATAACACATTATTAGAAATCGCTGTTTCTAATTTTTCTACATACTTACAAAAGCTGAACAAATCATTTAAAACAATAATTTTTAATTTATTTACTCATTTTTCATTTAAAATAATTAGGAACTTCTTGAAAGTATTTGACAGCAGCATCTTTAAAATGAATGAAACAATTTTATGTGTGTTATTGACAAATTGACAAAGACTTTAAATGGGTTCCGTCTTGGAAGTATAAAAAGTGAAGCAATTGAAAACATTGAAAAAAAAAAGTGAAATAATTGAACAGTGATCTCAATCTGAATCCATTTTCCCATTCTGTTATCTTCAAAATTGCTCAGATTTTCTTTAGGTTCAACATCAAATTTATTATCTTTTCCAATGGCGAAATCCCTTTTTCAACCGTAAAAAATTCTGTTTCATATTTAAATCTCCAGACATTTATAACGTTTTATTAGTTTGATTTAAAATATACTATACCGCCCACCTTTAACTCTAACTATGAATTACAACAACAGCAAAAACTTTCTAGTTGCTCTTGTGGAAATAAAACATAAAATTTGTGCTTAACGTGACATAAAATCCTGCTTATTCAAGAATATTTAAATTTAACCCTTTGCGGTCGTATTAAGCTTATACATGGGTATCATGCGGGTCGGAATTAATTTTCGCTGAACGAATAGTAATACAAAATATGCAGCTTATTGACTTACTCTAATTTAAAATTGGTATGAGTAAAAATCCTTTCCTTATTTCAATATAATGGATATTGAACCTTGTAGAAAGAACAAAGCTAAATTTTCAGAATGAACAAAATACTTTTATTTGAATTTTAGAACAGAACCAAAAAAATAAATGCTGCAGCTCTTAACTATTAAAATTTTATACTCTTAACTACTACAGATAAAACTCTTACAACCATTAAAATACTAAAATCTTAAACTCTCCAAAAAAATATATATATAAAAATCTTCCGAATTCTCTTCTTGTTGCCACATCGTAAAATGCAAGTTCTTGTCCTATTGTTTATATTTTACGTTCTCTTTAAGTCACGATCTTTATAAGTCATGATCTTTACAAGTCACGATCTTTACAACTAGCTAAGCAGATTATTATAACGTCTATAAGGTATTTTTCCCGCCTTCGTGGTGTAATAGTCAGCACCATAGACGCGTATTCGAGAGGTCAGTGGCTCGAGTCACGGCGAAGGCACTGCTCATTTTTCACATCTCCTGCTTCGAAATAACGTAATGTCTCTACTAGTTTAGGTCTGTTCGCTATCATAAACTGTAACCAGGACTTAGAGAAACTGACAGCGAATTATTGCTAAGTTAAAGGCAGAGTACTAAAAGGTTTTTGAAACAAAACCTTTCTATCAAATCAGAACTTGAAACATAAAATGCACTCCTCGTGCTGACAATTCAGCCAACCACTTGAGGCGATACAACTTAAAGTAACAGTAAGTTGTAATTTAAAATAAGCCAGTAATAAAAGACCACACAGTTCAGATTAAGGCGAAGTTGTAACATCCTATCTTGTATATAAGCAAAAAATTTACTAAGTTTGAAAAGAATTATTGTACTACTGAAAAGGAGTGCGCTGCTATCATCTACGCTATCAAGAAACTGCATTTTTATCTGGATGGTCAGCAAGAATTCTTGATTCAAACTGATCATAATCCTTTGGTCTGGCTACAATCCAACGCCAAATGTAACTCTAGATTGATGCGCTGGGCACTCTCATTACAACCTTATAATTTTAAGGTCATTCATCGCAAAGGATCTTTGCACAAGAACGTAGATGTTCTGAGTAGAATTAAGTAATGTAACTCTTAGTGTATGTAACCACGTTTAGAATTAATTTATTGTTTAATGTATGCTCAACTAATGTATTTGAACGTTCTCCATTTCTTTCTTTTTAAATGTAGTGTAAAAGTATTGTTTAAAACTTAAAATTTTTTGGCCTGAAATTTAGAAATTTATAAGAGAAATAACCTTTGCTCTTTAAGCAAATGAGCAAGTCGAGCTTATTAAACTGTCAAATTTTACAGAACTTTTCCCTTCGGAAAAAGTCTCTCCGTTGGGGGAGAGGTTGTAACAGCTTTAAATAGTATTAAAATCTTGTAGTTTAAATAATTTAAATAGATGAACATTAAGTTATTTGTGAATGGCAATATTCGAAACCAGACTCGAGTGCCACGTGCGACTCTCGCACGAAGAATGTAATTTATTTTTAAATGTTAGAATATGTTTTCTCTTCTTGTTTGTATGTCGCCATTTTTTTTAGTGTTAAACAAAAGTTATTGCTGTGTTCCATCATTGGAGTTGCTTATTATCGCCAAAGAAGCATCACACTCTCTAAACAAAAATATATAAAAATCTTCCGAATCCTCTTCTTGTTGCCACACCGTAAAATGCAAGTTCTTGTCCTATTATTTATATTTCACGTTCTCTTTAAGTCACGATCTTTACAAGTCATGATCTTTACAAGTCACGATCTTTACAAGTCATGATCTTTGCAAGTCATGATCTTTACAAGTCACGATCTTTACAAGTCACGATCTTTACAAGTCATGATCTTTACAAGTCATGATCTTTACAAGTCACGATCTTTACAGTATGGTTCTCTGCTGTGGTGACTGACAGTAGATATACGACTGGAAATGTTGGTTGGTTTTGGTTTATTTGATTACGGCAAAGCACTCGAGGGCTATCTGCCTGATGGAGGGATGACTTCGTGAAGGACGTTCTAAGGGAAACGGGCTTGTATGCATGTTGCACATGGAGAAAACCATGAAACGCCTATGCAGCCAGCCCGTTCTCCGGGGTTCGAACTTCTGATCGAACTGCTTATATTCAGCTACTTTACCACTCAGCTGCTGGTGGGTTGACTGGAGAGAAAGCTTTGGTGGCTGAAAGTAGATATATGAATTGTTAATATAAAATATCCTTCCGAAGATGTTTTTGACTTTCAGTCTTGAATTATACAATCTGTTCCGCAGTCAGTATTATAATGTTTGATTGATTATAGTTAACGTCAACGTTATACTTTACAATTTTCCGAAACGCCGTTTCGTTAGAAAGATGGAAACGGAAACATTTAAGATATATTTGCTTAACATAATATTTTGCCCAACTTGTAGAGACGTAGGATAAAAATCTATCTTAAAAATAAAAAAAAAATTACGGCGATAAGATAAGATATTTTTGCACGGCACGAAATGGAAAGAGTAAAGAAAGGTTCAGTAATATATGCTTTTCATTCTAAAATGATTGATTCGATAAGCTGATGCTAATCTTTAAGTTGTATCAAAGAGGAGGTTTTGTGCATTATAATCGTAAACTGGTAACATAGAAGTGGTAAGGAAACTCGCAGCATATAATCAGCTCATGGCGTGAAAGTATGCTGTCAGCACTGAATTTTGTACTGAATATGCTATAGGAACCAACACTAAATATGTGTACCATATCGTCAACATTGAATTTTATACTGAATATGCTATAGGAACCAACATTAAATATGTGTACCATATCGTCAACATTGAATTTTATACTAAATGAGCTATAGGAACTGTCATGTATCTGGCTACGGTGAGCCAATCAGCTGCCTGGCAGAGCCCAGCAAGTGAGAGAGACGACAGCTGCATGTTAGCCTCAGAGGAGGCAGGTGGTAGATTAACTATGTTGTAGGAGCGAGGTAGTGCTCCGAGTTTACTATTATTCTTTGAACGTTAATTTTTTTAAATGTTTATTATCGTTTTTTTAATAAATGTTTGTTTCGTTTTCCTTATGGTGCCTTATTGATCCGTAAGGTCATTACAACACGCTCTCTTTCGAGAACCAGAGCGAACGAAGGTGACTGGATTTTGAGAAAAGGTGAGAAATTCTTGTTGTAATGACCTTACGGATGAATAAGGCACCATAAGGAAAACGAAACAAACATTTATTAAAAATTAACGATAAAAGAATAATGGTAAAAAAATTAACGTTCAAAGAATAATGGTAAACTCGGAGCACTACCTCTCTTCTACAACATAGTTAATCTACCACCTGCCTCCTCTGAGGCTAACATGAAACTGTCGTCTCTCTCACTTGCTGAGCTCTGCCAGGCAGCTGATTGGCTCACCGTAGCCAGATACATGACAGGAACCAACACTAAATATGTGTACCATATCGTCAACATTGAATTTTATACTAAATAAGTTATAGGAACCAACACTAAATATGTGTACCATATCGTCAACATTGAATTTTATACTGAATATACTATAGGAACCAACACTAAATATGTGTACCATATCGAGGAAGGTTCGCATCAGAAGTGAAGCAGCTGTCTAACTACATATAGATTATGCATATGATGTGTTTCTGTGACGATTTCCAAATAAGTGAACAATGGATCTCCAAATAGGTCATAGAATAAATCTTCATTAGTCTTATATGACGATCTGCAAATAGATTAACAGCCATCCCACAATATGTTTCAATGAAATTTTTAACGTCGTCTATTTGAAAAGGAATTTTTTAAGATAAGTATGGTTGAACTAGGTGGGTTCTAGTGTTAAGATTATAGTTCTGTATTCATGAACAGACATCAACGAGCGTAGAGCTACTATACGAGGGCTATCCAGAAAGTAGATTACGTTTTGGAATAAAAAAATAAACAAAGTATAGGAAACAAATTTTATTATATACAGATGAAAGCCACACTCAAATACTACTTTTCTACATAGTCACCATACAAATTAAGGCATTTATCGTAGCGATGTACGAGCTTGGAAATTCCTTCGTCGAAAAATTCGGCCGCCTGCGCCTTCAACCACTTCGTTACCTCTTCTTGCAGCTGTGCGTCGTCATCAAAACGCTGCATAACCAGCCACTTCTTCATTGCTGGGAATAGGTGGAAGTCGCTCGGTGCCAGGTCGGGACTGTACGGCGGATGAGGAAACAACTCCCACTTAAAAGATTCAAGAACTTTACGAGTGACATTTGCCGTGTGGGGCCGGGCGTTGTCGTGAATCAACAAGATCTTAGAGCTCAACATTCCTCTGCGCTTGTTTTGAATTGCTCTTCTGAGTTTTTGGAGAGTTTGGCAATACCTTTGAGAGTTTATTGTTGTAGTGCCTCTTTCCAGGAAGTCCACCAAAAATTACACCTTTTCTGTCCCAAAAAAAACAGTCGCCATCATCTTCCTTGCCGACATTGTTTGCATGCATTTCTTGGGTTTTTTTGGGGAGAACTTGTGTGCCCCCCACTGCATTGATTGCAATTTCGTTTCACAGTTCACATGTTTCACCCATGTTTCGTCACCAGTAACGATGCGATCGAGAGTAAAGAGTCACCATCCTTATGGTAAGCGTCCAAAAAGTTCAACGCTGCAGCCATTCGCTGATTTTTGTGGTCCTCTGTCAAGATTTTTGGAATCCATCTTGCACAAAAACTTGTGGTAACCAAGCTTTTCGCTGATGATTTCGTGCAACAAACTTCGCGAAAATTTGTGGAAAACTCAAAGAAAGTTCCGTTATTGTGAAATTTCGATTTTCACGGACTTTAGCATCGACTTTTTCGAGAAGTTCGGCGGTCACTATGCTGGGTCTCCCACTTCGATCTTCGTTGTGAACATTGGTTCGGCCATTTTGAAATCTTATGACCCACTGACGCACTCCACCTTCAGTGATAATGTTGTCCCCATACACTTCACGAAGCTGCCGATAGATTTCTATCGGTTTACAGTTTTTTGCAGTCAGAAACCTTATTACTGAGCGCACCTCGCAGCTCGCGGGATTTTCAATTAACGCAGACATTTCAAACCGTCACAGTATCTGAACGGAGCACAGCACGAACCTCTCACTAGCACGGCTAGATGCAGACTGAGCTGCGCAACGCTCTGACCCCAAGATGGCCGCGCTAGCCCCGCCCCTAGCGGACACAGACGGAAACGTAATCTACTTCCTGGATGGCCCTCATATATAAAATGCAGATAGACTTTACGTGTCACGTTATACTCTTTTAAGTACTCCAAGGATTTTTAAAAGGGCAACAGTAAGGAGATGAATCCATGTATTGCCAATAGATGGTCCACGTGTTCCCTTACATCCAGCAGCTGTTACTATTCAAGATCAATCAATACTAATAAAAGTACTTCAATTTAATCAGTTAAACATTGTTTAATGCAGTTGATGTTATTCTTACTCATCAAAGTTTCTGCCCTATAATAGTTACTGTCATTCGTTACTAAATTTTGCTGTTTTTCAAATCGACCTTAAAATAGTTTGAGTTAATTCGTAAAAAAATTTTTTTAAATTATTTTTTATGTTCAGCCTGGTGTTTTGACTGTTTCTGGATGTCGAGTGACTGCCATGCGTCCTCTCTCTCGGGACAGCAATGTAACGGTTGCAGTGATCGATGAACCTATGGCTCCACCACTAGGAAGTTTAGAGCTGGTTGCTTCTAAATCGCCTTTTCTTTCTAACTTCTCGAAAATTCTTAAGCTTGCGAAACTAGATGAAATGCTGTCAGGTAAGTATATTACGAAACTGTATTAAAGCGCTCCCTTTAATTTATTCTGACAGCAAATTTATTTTTCCTAACATCTTTAAATTCTTTATCTTTTATTCCATATAATTTTAAAATTCTAAAAATAACATACAATTTCAAAAAGTACTAGATGAAACGAGAAGGAAAGCTATTAAAAAAAACTCACATCCATTTTAACGGAAAACAAAACGTTATAGAAATATTTTGAATCATTTCCAGATGTTCGTGCCGAGGAAGGTCAATGTTTTGAAGGTGACTACGTTTCAAACATCTTCCTAACATTAAATTCAACTACGCAATTTCTGTCACAAAACGTTTACAATGTGTGTATTTATCTCTCTATACAGTATCAGCTAATTTTAGCGGTAGCACTATTTCTTTGAAAGATCTAATTAAAGATTTCTAAATGAAAAGTTTATATAAAACTGTACTGTGTACATTTATTACACATACACAGCACCCACAAATAAGCTTTTATTTTTACAACTGTTGCCCATGGACATACAGTAACTAAAGGGTATTAAATGATGAAAATGTTCATATTATTGCATCTTTAAATTTAAAAATATCATTTTTCTAAAAATTAGAAATATGAATTTTTATACGCTCTCCCAGTCTTTATACTAATGTTTAGGAAAATCTTATACAGGCAGCTCTCGACTGTCCCACATAACTGATTCCTGAAAATGTGTGAAAATGTTGAATTGTTCGAAAAAAATGGATGTAAATAAATATGCACCAAAACTGTGTTTTAAGATATTTATTGATCAATATGTACGCAGAATGAAGTTAACGAGGCATGAAGCACTTTAGGGTATTTTGTTTTATTAAACTTGTCAAGAGTTAGTAGAATGCCATCTTTTTTTTCCCTTTTCTTGATAAAGATTTCTATGACATGCTATGCCTTTCAGAATCACCCTGCGTGCTTCAGATATACGTTCTCCATTGGGATCACATTCTTTTCTGATAATGAAAAATTTATCAAGATGCGTCAGGGGTTCATTGATATTTTTAATTTTCAAACCCTGGACGATTTTATCAGCTTCTTTTTCATCACTTTCATTGTGTGTTTCATTGTTGCACAATTAAGTATTCATTTGACAGAGGCACTGAGTGAGATTCCATAGAGTCATTAACATCTTCATTGTTGATGTCCAAGATTAGTTCATTGATTAGGCTAGCTATTTCATCTGTTATAGCTTCCATTGTTTCTTCAAAATTTATAAAGTCACTTAACACTTGTGGGCATAATTGTTTCCAAGAACCATTCATTATCGACTCTTATTTCAGCTTACGAGTCTCCAGTATTGTTTATTGCATTCCATTTATTATCATTCTTCCAATAATCTATTTTTGTTGGCCCATCTTCCCTGTCTTGATTTCCTAATTCATTGTTGTCCTCATATAATATCGTTTAAACCTAGCTATTACTGTTTGGTCTGTAGATGTATGAGGCAAGCAGTATCGGGAGGAAGAAACACAACATTGATCTCCAGGTATAAATTCCGCAGAGATTTTAGGTATCTTGGAGCATTGTCTAAGATTAATAATGTTTAACTTGTAAATTATTATTCTTGCAGTATTGTTAACTGTCGGCACGAAATGAAAAGTGTTAGGAATCTTTAAATATTAACGCAGTAACCCACCCATTTTTATTTGATTTCCAAATAACTGGAAGCAATTCTTTGCGCTGTGGGATTTTCTGTTTGGTTGTATTTCTTCTAACATTCAATTTTAAATCAGCAATATCTCCACCAAAAACGAATGACAGGTGACAGGTGAATGCAGGGCCCGGACACCCGGACGGCTTAATATGACAAATCGGTTGTCGTCCGGTACCCGCACCTATTTAGAACAACACAACCCTGGCGACTTCCTGAAAGGGCTGCATCGGAAAATTATTAATGAGAGAATATGTGGTATTGACGTGGCCAAACAAGGGCGTGTGCATATATATGCTTCAGTATACAATTAATAAAAAGTTTCATACATAGGTACATTGGATACATATGTATATTCGTCTAAGGGGTTAATGAGATAGGCAAAAAGAATGACAGTCAGTTTATGGAAGTTTTGTGTTCTGGGATAACTGATTCTTCCTTCGATAAAAATGTGCAATTAAGGATTTTTCCGAAGCAAGCCCATCTCATCTACATTGAATATTTGAGTAGGAAAATATTCTCCAGCGACAATGATTTTGGACAATGAGGAAATAAATCTTTTCGCAGCATTTTTATCTGCATCAGACGGTTCATACTGAATTTAATATTATGCATATATCCTTTTTAGAATATCTCATTTTAAATTTATCGAACCAGCCATTACTTGATTGAAACACCGTGTTTGAATTAGCATTTAATCTAGTCTTCCAAACTTCATGCAAACTAAGAACCTTAGCTTGAATAATAGAAATACTCAGTGGGACATTTTTTTGCTGTTGATCATCCGATCCATGATAACAACAAGATACAACAATGCCCGAAACACATTATTGTTTTAACTGTGATTTAAGTTTAAAAAAAATACCTACCGAAAAATTTTCAAATAATGGAAATTCCGCAAAAACTTGAAATTTTTACAGCATAGAAAATTTTTACATTTGTTTAATGTGATTATTTCAAACAATGAAAATTTTCAGCGATGAGATTGTAATTAGCTTTAACTTAACTTCTTTGCACGCATGAGCACTGTTTTTTCCTGTCATTTTAAATTAAATTCGTGAAGATATCCCATGTCTGTAGCAAATGTATAACTTCCATAGCTATTCATTTTTCGATAATAACTGTTCTGGGTAGTTTTTCTCATTTAGAAAAATTTCACAAATTTGAAATTATAGTTAGCTGCCTGCGTCATCAGTGCAATATAAGTATAACGTGACCAAGATTAAATTTGAAACGAAGCAGTTAAGAGACATTTATTATAAACTGTTGCTATTTTTAGGAGAGAAAAGGGAAATCATGAAATTAAAATGAAGAGTTAATAGACGATTGCAAATTAAAGTTAATATTTTAGTTTATCTAATTATTTTACATATATATGCTCACATACACTCAAATGCCGAATGTGCAGGATAGAAATATTTAATTGCTTTACCGTCGCGTCAATAACAACAGCGTTATCAATGGCAGTTGCGAATGTTATGTAAATCCCGATCCCGTGAGTCTCGTGAAATGCCTGCAAATAATCATGGCAAGCTGCCGTGCGTTACCAAATTCTGAATAATGGAGTCCGAAGAACAAGGCATTCAGCTTTTGATAATTGTTCGAGCATTTTTTGATAGACGATGTTACAGATGCACCAAGAATCCACAGAGGAAACATTATTATGCATCATATCCCATGATCAGTATAGTGGTTAGCGTTGTTGGCTGCCGTGTCGTTAACCCCAGGTTCGAATCCCGAAGAAAGCTTGGATATTTTATGTGTAATATCACGTGACCTTCGTGAATAGATGACCTGGTCAGCTTCAAAGTCACGTGATTTGACGTCACGAAAGGCGTCTGAACTTTCATTCAGTCTGCAAACTGAATTACGTTAAAACCGGTGAATATATACAGATATTCAAGCTTCCAAACGATACATTAAAACGGTATTTCTAGATAAAAAAAATTCAAAGTGAGTGTTGTATGTGAGAAATATTTTTGAGATGATATCATTCGGTACGATTATGTATCAAAAACTGAAGGCATTGTTGTTTAAGTTTGTAAAAGACACCCTAAATTATAAACGGTGTCCGCCGATAACATCGCGGCAAAAACATCGCAGACGAAAACGTCGCGGAGAAAACAACGCAAGGAGAAAACGTCGTGCTACAAAACATCGCGGGAGAAAACATCGCAAAGAGAAAACATCGCAGTTCTAAAACATCGTAGTACAAAACATCGTCGTAGAAAATAAAGCGGTTCGAAAACTTCGCAGTTTAAAAACATCGTCGTTGAAATATCGTGGTAAAAAAAAATAGTATCTACAAATGATCGCATGACGATAACATCGCAGACATTCGTTTTCAGGTTTAATAATTGGAAATGGATATTACCATAATGATTTGTGAGCGCAAGATGTAAAGAAGGATATTTACTTTCACATTTTTTAAAAAATAAAAATTTTTGCTGAAAAAGTAAGAAGGAAACTTAAGCATAGATAATTAAATGCAACTTATAGCTCATACGTTTCATCAAAATTACCAGTAAAAGCATTACAAAAGGGATATTATAATGGTCTTTGTTAGTTAACTAGTCGGTTTAAAATTCCATTAAGTGCTATAAGTTGCATTAATTTTCTATGCTTAAGTTCCTTCTTATTTTCTCAGCAAAAATTTATTAGTTAATAAAAAAATATTAAGTAAAATTATCCTCTTTCCATCTTGCGCTCACAAATCATTATGGGAATATCCATTTACGGTTATTAAAGAATGTCTGCGAAAAGCATGTCTGAAAAAAGCATATCTGCGATTTTATCGTCATGCGATGATTTGTAGATACTTTATTTTTACCACGATATTTCGACGACGATGTTTTAAACTGCGAAGATTTGAACGCTTTATTTTCGACGACGATGGTTTTGTACCACGATGTTTTAGGATTGCGATGTTTTCTCGTTGCGATGTTTTCTCCACGATGTTTGTACCACGACGTTTTCGCCTTGCGGGTTTTCTCCGCGACGTTTCGTCCGCGATGTTTTTGCCGCGATGTTTTCGGCTGTAACCATTATAAACGATGCTTATCCATGCATCATTTTTTCTGATTGTCCAAAATACTTATCTGATAATCCGACATCTACGAGGATGAGCACAGAGAAAAAAAGAGCCAATACCGATAAACATATTTTTAATCAATTTTTGAAAAAGAGCAAAATTGCATCTTTTGAGGAATTTTCTGCTTCATTATGGAATAAGCTAAACATTTCAGATGATTCAGATTTAATTTGACATAAAATCTGCTGATGGAAATTATATTTTATTGCTCAGTTTTAATCTACAGCCTTAAGTTGGGAAATGTATCTAACTATCACTTCATATGAATACAGCGGTTTCTCTTGGACAAGAAGCTGTTGAAATGGGAGAATGTAAAAATATATTAAATGGAAATACTAAACTTACTTTATGGACTGAATTTGAAAACATTTATAGCTGTATCAAAATCCTTTCCTTCCATTTTCCTTCGCATCTGCGAAAATAAACCTGCAAAATTTGGGATCAATGAAATCCCCAGTAAATTTTGCAAATATATTTTTCGGAGTATTTATTAAAGAATTTTAGTATTTAGTGGAAGTAAGAACAATCAAACTGTAAAGATTTATTTTAAAACTTTGTTTTTCAGCAAATCTTAAAATGTCATTACTATGCAGTATAAAAATAATTGCACAAAATATCGTAAAACATTGGCTAGAAAATTTCATGAATATTTCTTAAAATAATACCTCTGGAGCTATCAGTCTTAACTATAAATGTATAAAAGACCTTTTATATACGTTTTTCCGTAAATCTATGAAAATTTAATTACTATGCATTATTTAAAACAAAAGAATTTAAACATTTAACGAAACGTGCATATTCAAACCCGAAGCACAGTCGCGGACGCCTTCCATGACGTCACTCGTAGCTAACCAGGCCATGTTATATCCAGCTGGCCGTGAATGTCACCGCGACTTGAAAGCACGAAAATCGTCTCTAGTAGTTTGGTGACATAGCAAGAGGGCTCCGAAACCCTTAGCCTGTCTTCCAGGAGATTCTCCCTCAAAATTGGGACGGAACTGGGTGATATTTATATGGTCACCTATCATGCTCATTTCCATACCAATGATAAACATAATACTATACTCCTCGCCACGTCGAAATTCATCAACTTGATCTGATGTTACCATCAGACAGGTTAGATAAGATAGAGCAACTTCATGCGTCATGAATAGCGCAGCGGCCGACCACGGGTGCTAGAAGTAATTGTGATTAGCGATTTCTGGCTTGAACTGTACATACTAACAGATAAACGATCCTGAGTAAAATAGCAATTGCATTCAGCGGGAGCATTATTGGAGGCGAGCATTACTTTGAGGTGAATGCAACGAAATTTAATGTTGCAAAGATATAGCAACAGAAGACCCTTTATGGTAACAGAAGGTCATCGGATAAGTGCCTCACATAGAATCGTGAACGTATCTACCCTATGACTGAAAGAAAAGTGGCACTTTTCCATGAGTCACGCAAAAACCATCAGGCAAAAAGTCAATTGGTCAAGGAGATACTTCAGTATTATTATGCGGCTTTCTGAAAAACCCACCAACTAATGATGAGATAGAAAACATACTGAAATAAAGCAGCGTAAGAAAGTGGTCCCAAACCGACGGCCTGCGGAAAATATGTGGTCTCCAAAACGATTTTCTGCGGCCCGTGAACTCATTTTATTTATGTGTTTATTGCAAATACGGTGGTGCAAAAATATCAAGATTTTAGTTATCTGGTGTCCGAGTTTACATTATTTTTATAGCCATTAAAAATGAACATGAATGCCGCACCATAAAAATCTATAAATGGAGATAATTAGTTTATGATATGGCAAGAATTTCATTCAGAGATTTTTGAAGATACAGATTTTATTAACTTTCATTTTGTCGAAAAATCAAATACTGTTAGTTACGAAGCTTTGCATTAAGAATAATCGCTTTGTTTGAAGACTATATATGTGAACAGTTTTTTTCCATAGTTAAAATTAGTAAGAAAAGAATTCTATTGACTAATAAGCATCTACGATCCGTGATGAAATAATTTCTAGTAATTTCTCTCTAAGAGTACAAACTTTATCAAAATCGAAATACCATCAAATGTAAGAAATAAAGAAATTTATAATTAAATATTTGCATACAAACATATGTATTTTTATTTATGTGTCACGATAAAATCTGATAGATAAGAGAAATAAGAGAAAGAGATAAGGTTATCATTATTTATTTGCTCTCAACTTTTGTTCCACCTGTAAAGTTTTCTTTGAAAACCTCCTGAGTCTTAATTTGTTTATTTTTAGTTTAATTAAACATGTCAGAATTATTTGAACGTCAGTTTGAAAATTTTAATCTTTAGCTAGCAGTATATTTGAATTACAATATGTGACCAATAAAAATGTCTTGTAAGTAGCAGGCTTCAAATAAAAAAATAAATATGAATTTGAAATTTTTTGCGATATTATTATTGTTTACGTAAGTTTTGATAAATTATTAAGTAAATTAAATTTGAAATATTTCCTTACTTTGTTAATATGAAAGTTTTAATTTATTCTTTTCTTACATTTTACGAGTATTTTATCAATTTCTTATTTAGGAATTTGTTTTTATTTTGGTTTATATGCTGTTTTTATCTTTTCATATTTTGTTTCTGCTTAGATGGTGGACCATACACGTTGTTTGTGTCAAATTCCTGTGTTTTTGCCAAGATGGATCCGGATCAATACCGCCGGCTCATTTCTAATCGAAAACTTGCTAGAGGTAATTGTAATCAAAGCTTATTGTGTTTTCAAAGCTTTACTGTGTTCAGTTCAAAATCGTCCATTCTAGACTATGCCATGGTTTTTCAGATTGATTATTTATGTTAATTAGTTAATAATCATGTTACTATTTTAAATACAAATAAACAAGCCGAAACGTCATAACCTTATAAATATTGCTTGTTTATTGAACTGACATCCATTTAAAGACATCCAGTATTAAAAAAATATTAATAAATAAATAAAAGGGCTGTAAATATTAATTACTCAAAGTGCGTGTGTATAAGATTTAATTTAAATAACACTAATAAAGTTTAATCTTTGTCGGTACCAAAAATTGTAATCAAACTTTAGATAAGCTGAGAGCAAATTATCGCTAAGTACAAACTAACAACTAGGATTTGAAAAGGATGTAAAAGACTTTATTAAAATTAAAGAAGATACCTGGTGCTTACAACTCAGCCAGCACTTATGGCGAGATGATTTAAATAATTGTAAGTTCAGATAAGCTAGTAGTCAAAGACTATACAATTCAATTTAACTCGAAATTAGCTCACAACCTAATCGGCATAGAGATATTCAACTATCGGCGTTTATGATGCAAGACCAAAGACTACAAATCGTATCTGATCTAGCAGCAACTTAGTAACGTAGCCTCGAGAGTCAGAACACACTCTATCTTACAATTTAAAAACCTCTTTAAATACACGGGAGCTAATTTGCAATCTGGCGTAGAAACGGAAGGAAGAAGTGACAGTCAAGATCCAAAACATATGGTTATATTAACATAATAGAACGTTACACAATTTATTTTAATATTAGTTCTTTCCTGAACTTTCGATAACTTCTACCAGCCGTAACTAAAATGCAAATCAAGTTAATTTTAAACAGCAAGCTATCTGCAGTTTAAGAAAGTGATGTGGCAATCAGCCAGTCTAGCTTTTCAGTCTCAGATGCTTACATAGCAGTCCTGTATATCTCATGAGTCAATTTTTCTATCTCTTATCACTTATATTTAGAATCTCCATTTCAGTTAGCTATTCTCTAACTCTTAGTGCCTTTAAAATTTATACATTAAAAACATTTCGTAATCTAACTCATTCCATTTATTAATGAAATATGTACATGCTCCCTATGAAACTGGAGAAGAGTTCAGTAGCTAATTCTACCAGTTCTGCGACTAGCATCGTTAGCTGCTAATTAGTGCTCAACGAGACCATTGGACATCTTTACATTTTTCGTTTTACTTTTCAAGCTTAAAATTTGGTGGTCTGTTATCAGATAACTGTAATGTCACTAATTAGCCAAAGGAGCGGTAGCCCAGAAGGACTATTAGACTTTTGTAGCGTCTCACTATAAACGGCTTTTTAAATTGTTGCTACCAAATATTATCGGCCTGTAATGTATTAAAAAAATTAAATAATGAAGAATCTGCAAGAATGTATGTATGCTTCTCGCACTGTAAAAAATGACGGTACCTAGAGCCATCCAATTTTGAATAACGTAATCCTGCACCCGAACATGGGCACCTGGAAACCCGAATTTTGAGGTTCGGATTTGTTTTATTATCTTTTTCGTATTCTGTAAAACTTTAAGGAATTCGTGATTAAGAAACTCAAAGATTTCAAGGCAAGCAATGGCAACATTTTACGAAAAAAAAAAAAAAAGAAAAGAAAAGAAAGAAAAACATGTTTATCTCCAGCGCGTGAAATATCTATCTGAAATTCTAAATGCATGCTGTTTTTAAATATTTTGTTCGTGATATTGTTGTTGAACTGAATTTTATGTCGTTTAAGTGCGAAGAACATGATATTTAATAAATAAAGGTAGCACACAAAACGTCAAAAAGAGTCCCTTTGAGCGTAATATAAAATCGGAATGCTTTCGGATTCCCCCCCCCAATCCTTCATTTGCCTATTTAGTTCTGCTTTTGAAAGTTTTACCTAATGCAAAAACAAGGAGCAAATAAAACGAATCTTGTCGCCCAACGCCTCTATAAGACGATCAGTTTTGAAAGTGGCTTAGAAAGTAAATAAACATGGACATTAAGTGTCATTTCTCTAAGACGACCGCCCCACAGATGATCAAAATCATCTGGAACAAAGAATGGTCTTGTAGGTTATTACTGTTATTTTTCACTAACCAGTTATTTTATGTTTTGGATCTTTTATGTTACTTCTCCTTTCCGTTTCCCTACCAGAATATGAATTAAATAGATAGTATCTAAAGGAAGGTTTCGGCAGTTTAATTTAGAGTGTGTTCCGCCTGTCGAGCACCACGTTACTAGATTGCTGCTAGATAGTCTTCGGCCTTGCATTGTAATTGCCAGTATTTGAACATCCACTCTAGTTAGGTTTGGGAGCCAACTTCGCCTTAATCTGAACTGTGTGGTCTTTTATTACTGGCTTATTTTAAATTACAACTTACTGTTACTTTAAGTTGTATCGCCTCAAGTGGTTGGCTGAATTGTCAGCACGAGGAGTGCATTTTATGTTCAAGTTCTGATTTGATAGAAAGGTTTGTTTCAAAAACCTTTTAGTACTCTGCCTTTAACTTAGCAATAATTCGCTGTCAGTTTCTCTAAGTCTGGTTACAGTTTATGATAGCGAACAGACCTAAACTAGTAGAGACATTACGTTATTTCGAAGCAGGAGATGTGAAAAATGAGCAGTGCCTTCGCCGTGACTCGAGCCACTGACCTCTCGAATACGCGTCTATGGTGCTGACTATTACACCACGAAGGCGGGAAAAATACCTTATAGACGTTATAATAATCTGCTTGGCTAGTTGTAAAGATCGTGACTTGTAAAGATCATGACTTATAAAGATCGTGACTTAAAGAGAACGTAAAATATAAACAATAGGACAAGAACTTGCATTTTACGGTGTGGCAACAAGAAGAGGATTCGGAAGATTTTTTATATATTTTTGTTTAGAGAGTTTAATGTTTTAGTATTTTAATAGTTGAAAGAGTTTTAACTGTAGTAGTTAAGAGTTAAAATTTTGATAGTTAAGAGCTGCAGCATTTATTTTTTTGGTTCTGTTTTAAAATTCAAATAAAGGTATTTTGTTCATTCTGAAAATTTAGCTTTGTTCTTCCTACAAGGTTCAATATCCATTATATTGAAAGAAGGAAAGGATTTTTACTGGCGCAGTCGGTAGGATCGGGGTTTCCCCGCATATAATTACGAACCAAAATAACTCAGGTCAGAGTTCAATTTATCTTGTAAACGTAAAATAATTAATTAAAATTGTGAAAAGTTAATTATTATTTCCGTCATGGAATCTTAGTTTATTTACTTGTCAAAGTAATGAATACGCCAGTGTTCAAATGTAATTTCGTTTGACTCGCCAGAGTAGGTCAACAACACATTAAGTATTATTGATTTTCGTGCCGAATAAAATTAAATTCATTGTGAATTATATTTAAATAGAAAAAGAAAAGAGAAAAAAATTTTTTTTTTTTTTTATAAAACTAAGAGTCTATTGGCTGAATAAAATCGAGACATGGCTTTTATGGGACATGGGAAAAAAGAGGATTTGCTGGCTTTAGCTGCTGAATTAGAAATTCAAGTAGATCCAAGTATGAAAATCGTGGCGATAAAAAATGAATTAATTCAAAGTGATACATATGATGAAGCATTTGCTAAAGAAGTGTTTTTAACGATTATTGAAGAGAGGAAAAGAAAAGAAGAGGAACAGCGAAGAAAGGAGAAAGAAGAAATTGAGGAACAGCGAAGAAAGGAGAAAAAAGAGATTGAGGAACAGCGAAGGAAAGATGAGCTTGAGGAAAGGCGAAGGAAAGAAGAGCTTGAGGAACAGCGAAGGAAAGAAGAGATTGAGGAACAACGAAGGAAAGAAGAATTAGAAGCACAGCAGAAAAGAGAGCAAATGGAGTTTGAATTGAGGAAACTCGAAATTGAATCTCGTGTTCGATTAACACAAACTCCACCAACAAATGAAAATGGACATCATAATTTTGATTTAATTAAGCTTATTCCCAAATTCAATTTAAGACACGATGATATTGTGATTATTTATCATTATTTGAAAGACAAGCTAAAAGGACAAAGATTGATCCTAAAGATTGGGTTTCATGTTTATTGACTTTAATGCCATCTGAAATCATTCAATTAATTGGTAGGGAATCTGAAGAAAATTTTGAAGATTATGAGTACATTAAGGCCATTTTATTGAAGAAATTTAAATTAAATCCTGAAAGCTTTAGTAAAAAAATTGTGATGCACCAAAAGAGCGCTGAAAAATCATAGAGAGATTTTTGCTACGAAATTACAAGTTATTTTGAAGAATGGATCAATGGTCTTGAAATCACAAATTTTCCCGCGTTAAAAGACTTGATTATTACTTACCAAATTAAGAAAAGAGTACCCTATGAAGTAAGAGACCATCTTCTTGACGACTGGGCGAAGTTCGTTTCTCCAACCAAATTAGCTGATAAACTTGACGAATATGACAGTGTTCGTAATATCTCAAAATGGACTGGTGGTAATCCATCAGCAGACAGAACTAATAAAAAATGGCAACCTCATTCTCCACTTCCAGAAAGAGCTTTCAGAAATAAATCGCTGCCCGCTGAAAACACGCCAAGAGTGTACCCATCCCGTAAGAGTGACGAAGCACAAAAGCCTAGTTTCAAACTAACTTGCTATAATTGTGGAAAAGAAGGTCATACATCTAAGTTATGTACCAAAAATCGGATCCCAAGAAGTGCTTCTGCAACAGCACAAAACAACTTAATACAAACACAAGCACCCCTTGCAGAAAAAGAAAAACCAGAAGTGCTAACTGCCAAGATCTCTATACCTGTCTCAAAATCAGTGGACGTGTCTAGAAACATAGATGAATTAAAACTTGTCAAAGTTAAATGTGGAAATATTATTCTAAATGGAATCGCAGATACGGGAGCACAAATTTCAGTTGTCCGTGAGAAATTGGTTGACAACATACCTTGCGAAGGAGAAAGTAAAATAGAGATATCTT